TATCTAAAATATCCGGTTAATAGTCGCTTTTATATGCAAAGTAGGTAAAATCCAGATAATAATTTCAGATTCAGTCCCGATGGATTTTCTGCTCTGCATCCCCAGAGTTTATTCTTGCTGTTAAGATCTCCTATAAGTAGGGTAGGTATAGAGCTACTCAACATTGAGCTTATGTCAGTTTCTAGTAATTTTTTGTTAGGTTGTTTGTATCCACATGATATTAACTGGAGTTGAGTTGTTTGTTTGGATTGCTATTGCCGTTACTTCAAAAGCGGTGGTTTTACAGCTAAATTGATGGTGTTGAATTTGTCTTTTAATTATAATCGCCCAACCCAACCCCTCCGGCAGCTGTGGCGGAAGGTCTATCTGCTCTATACAGGGTGGTTCAGTTTTTAATCGGGAAACTTTACTAAAACGTAGTACTTGCCAAAATAACACAAGTTTTTTATGTAAACATAGGGTCACAACACTTTTGTATGTTAATATTCTATGGTGTTAAAAAGTTGTTATAAAAAAATCAAAGGGGTTGTGAATTTCATCCCCTTAGAGGGCGCTAGGGAAGTTTAAGGTATTGTTGAAAATAAGATATTAACCAGCAGTACATGCATACAAAATTTCAAATTCTATGGTTTACTTATACCCGAAATAAAAGATAAAGTGTAAATTTTTGGCTCAATTTTGACAGCTCATAGCTCGAAAACAAAAGAGTTGCGACCCTATGTTTATATAAAAAAATTGTGTTATTTTAGCAAGTACTACATCCTAGTAAAGTTTCCCGATTAAAAACTGAACCACCCTGTATACATTATATCCTGCTATTCGGAAAGTCTCACTTGGAGCTAGGTGTGTTTCCATGATATCACATTTGACGCACCTATGGCTCATTATATACAAGGAAGGATATATTATGGCATTGGGGATTTTTTTTGGGAATTCCTCTTGGTTTCGACTGTGATGATTGCGTTGGAAATTTCCTTGACTTGATAGATTTCTTTGGAATTCTCTGTGGTTTCTAGGTCTGCTACGCATAAAGGTATGGGGTATTTTGACTTATTGAGCAATCTCGTGACTCTTATGTCTGATAGGTTTAGTTGATTCAATTCGGATTTGATTTCTTGATCGGATATTGATATCGGGACATTGCGTAAGATCACAGATAGAGGTTTACTGGAGCGATGTTGATAGGTATGGAATGGAATTTCGTTTTCTTTGTAGAATTTGGTGATCGCTCTGTAATTATCAACATGGGTTAGGTTTACTTTGGTATTTGAATTTTTGTACGTAGTGTTTTGTATTCACTTTTAAGTCAGTAATTAGTTGCTAGTGGTTTAGGGCACTATGGATAAAAATAGGGAGAGCTATTGGTGCTTTTCTGGCCTTTACTTTTCTTGGGGTTCTCGGAAGTTCCAGAAGTACCAGCACAGAAGTTCGCACTGTTGGCGTTCATGATAGTGGCTTTTGGTAACTCCTTCACATCAAGTACCATTAGGGATGCCCCCTCCAATGGTTGCAGAGTTGGACAAGCATATCATAATAAGCTTTTTGGGAATGAAAGAAAGATTTTTGGTTGTATTGATATTAACAGAAACATTTTTAGGGTTTCTATTATGTGACAAAACTCGAAATGGTTTTATAAATAAACCACGTGTTCAATTAATTTTTGTTTGTTGATTTCGTCGTTTTGAGAGTTTCATTAACATTCGATGAATTCTGGAAATAGCTGCACAAAAATTTAAATTCCCCCTATTACTGCGATATTCCAGGTATTTATCCATTCAACGAAAAGCAAAAAAAAATATATCGAAAATAAATTTCTCTCCTATTTGTTTAATAATAGAACCTATGGCCCCGCTTTTGAACTCCCATACCGGATATATTAAATTTACTGCTCAATAAAAGTTCGCGTATTCACATCGAAATATTGCACCAAACGACCAAGATTACATATTCAAACAATAAAAATATCGGTATCAATATTCGCTTTATTTTATCATGCGACAATTATGAAATTATAAAATTTTCAATTAATTTTGTGCCATGTTCTACTTGTTATGCACGCTAGAACGAGTTATCCAGAACACGCCATTAAATTCGAATAAAGAACACCATGTAAACCTAGGTTTTATAAATACATTCAACGGGTTAATACCAAGCTTACAACGAGATAACGTGCACGTTATCCTTATTAGTTTCTTTAAACACTTTAAAAACCACAAAAGAATAAATTAATTAAATGATTTTAGATTAATGTATACAATTTAATTTCCTCAGTGGAGGAGGCTGTTCACAAATACTCCTCTTGCTATAAAAATGCAGGAGAATTCCCGTCCGTGTTGTTTCCGAGATCCTAAATCCTTTTTCTTTCTTTCATCCTGCGGCGGGACCGAACAGTCCTTTACAGTCAGAATGGTATTGACCGTGGAGGTCCTTGTTTAATTAATGTACACTTCGTGCGTTCGGGCGGGTTTAATTTAGTTAACAGGTTCTCTTTTAGTTGAACTCGTCCTGTTGAGCGATACAGCTGGATTACAGGATCTAGACATCGCCGTGTAGTTTTATTTTCAAGGATTAGTACTCTCACAAGGACGAAGATTAACGCCTCCGAAACTGGGAATTTCTCGTTTTGTATATATAATCTTGTACCTTAATACTTTACTGAGATATTCGAATTATATAAGTTTTGATAAGCGGGTTATATCACAAAAAATTATTACTATATTTTTCTATCTGTTCTTTATGTTAATGAAATATGCTGATATCTGATCTCAAATCTATGCAAAGCTCAATGGAATACTATTATACTCTGTACGAAGAGTGTAATAATAAGATTAAAAAACAGGAGAAAGAAATGAAAAATTGCAATGAACTCAAAAACAGTGATTCCACGTGAAAAAATCTATTAGAACCCGTTTTTACTTTCTTACTAAGTTTCCGGATAGCTGAGATACAGGAGGTGTCTGAAAATCGTACATTTCAAACACTCCCTGTATATCAAAAACGAAGAGGGCTATGAAAATTTGGTTTGCGCCATTGTAAGTTTCACAAAAAAGAAGCTCAGGTTCGCGAAAGCCGCAACTTTCTATCTTTCATAATAACTGAGATACCCTGCAAATCCATCGAAATTTGGACACCCTGTACAATTGTACCGAAACGGTAACACTGATCATATCTCACCTTTGAACCGTATCTGCAACTTTTTATCTTTTTATCTTGGATGCTTACACATTGCATAAAATTTGATTCAATAAACTTCAAATTGGTAACCAAATTGCTTAGATAACCAATGGTATACTGGAAGTACTCTTAGGTTCAACGGTTTTCACAAACACTACCAACTTGAAACTCCATATTTAAGAAAACTTTTCAAAAAAGCCTAACTGTTTTATTCCAATGCCAAATTAATTCATAGTGTATCGGAAGAAAGTTGGATAGGTGTGCGAGGTTTCTGACAGGAAAGTTGAGGAAAATATTATAAAGGCTTGAAAATAGGTACAATTTTGTAGTAAGACATATTAAGATGAATGATTTGAAAGACTTATGGGTGTGATCTTGAATTCATTGCTTCCGTAGTAACAGAACTTTGGTTTCTTTCACAATAAAGTACCATTCCGAGTTGGGAGACATCCCGAGCTTTCTAACGTTTTCCATCACATCATCTTTCCATATTTTTTTTGGTCTTCCTCCAGCTCTCTGTCCTTGTAGTCTCCATTCTGCAAATCTTCTCACTCCTCTCTCTCCCTGCATCGTTTCCTAATATCCCAGCCATACTATTCTCTGCACTTTTATGTGTCGTCCTATGTCTTCTTCGTTCTGTGTTCCATGAGCTGGTACAATTCGTTGCTCATTGTTAACCTTGCATCGATCGTATCTTGATTTCTAGTGCTTATTATTATTACTATATTTTTCTCTCTACTCTTGATGTTAATTAAAGTACTCTTAGGTTCAACGGCTTTCACAAACACTACCAACTTGAAACTCCATATTTAAGAAAACTTTTCAAAAAAGCCTAACTTTTTTATTCCATTGCCAAATTAATTCATAGTGTATCGGAAGAAAGTTGGATAGGTGTGCGAGGTTTCTGACAGGAAAGTTGAGGAAAATATTATAAAGGCTGGAAAATAGGTACAATTTTGTAGTAAGACATATTAAGATGAATGATTTGAAAGACTTATGGGTGTGATCTTGAATTCATTGCTTCCGTAGTAACAGAACTTTGGTTTCTTTCACAATAAAGTACCATTCCGAGTTGGGAGACATCCCGAGCTTTCTAACGTTTTCCATCACATCATCTTTCCATATTTTTTTTGGTCTTTCTCCAGCTCTCTATTCCTGCATCGTTTCCAAATATCCCAGCCATACTATTCTCTGCACTTTTATGTGTCGTTCTATGTCTTCTGGTCTAGCTGGTACAATTCGTTGCTCATTGCATCGATTGTATCTTGTGTTTCTAGTGCTTTTAAATTTTAATTAACTGCTTACTATATTACACTATTTGACTACTACTTTGCCTTCTTCCTCTAACTATCCAATTTCCTATTACATTGATTACGATGATGATGTGGTGGAAGTTTATAAACTAATCATAATAGATTTTTAAAAATCTAATTACATCTTACGAGATTAAATACATCATTTTATGACGAAACGAGAATTTTAGTAATTAATAAAACGCGAATTCAATGGAAAAACACATAAAGGGCCGCAATCTTGATAAAAGCTTTCAAGGGAAATCGGTCGTTTAGATGAGAAACGATGGTCCATGAAGGGATTGGACGATATATTTTATTAGGAAGAGAGGGGTCCGACGACTTCACTCCCGTTCCTTCGTCACTGATTTATTCGGGGGTGTTTACCCTTATCGTGCTTTGTAAGTCGTTTTATGGGTCCCTAAAAAGAAATCCCGAGGGTGTACACAAAAAGTATCTGCTCACCTAATTCTATTAGTTTAAGTATAAATTTAAAAAAATTATTGTATTTATTTATTTTTCTTTTTGTTATAGGTGGTTTGGGATTGAGAGATGTCAACGTTATCATCCCTTTATCGATCGAAAGAGGAGACAAGGCAATAATGAAATGTCTATACGATTTAGAAGGCGAAGCTTTGTATGCCGTGAAATGGTACAAAGGAGGAAAAGAATTTTTTCGATACGCCCCCAAAGAAACACCGTCGATGAAGCATTTTCCTATAGCCGGGTTGAGGGTAATCGAATACGAATCGAATGCTACTCAAGTTGTTCTCGACAACGTTCAATTGGAGAATAGCGGGGATTATCTCTGTGAAGTTACCGCCGATGGTCCCGGGTTTTATACTAGAGAAGTTAACGGAGAACTACAAGTAAGTTCGCAAAAAAAATAAAAAAAAAATAATTAAGGGAAAAGTGTTGTTGTCAATATGGTGGGTTAAACTGTAAATTCCCGAGTTTTTCTATTTCACCAGGTGCCACCAAACAAATTGTGTAAATATGTTCTTTCATCGCACGCACGAGTTCGAATCGATTTTTTCGAAAAAAAAGTAATGCTATTTATAACCCGTTTCAGGTTGTTATTTCACCGAGAGAAGACCCGAAAATAACGAAAATAAACACTAAATACCGTCTGGGGGAAGCATTAGTTGGACAATGTACATCAAAAGATTCTAAACCAGCCGCGAATTTAACATGGTATATCAATGGAAAGCCGGCCAAACAAATCCACACAAGACATCAAAAACCAAAAACGAATGAATTTGGATTAGAAACGTAAAATTAACCTATGCGAAGTTAGCCCCCAATTAGATATGATTTTATATTTTCACCTCTCAACCGAGCGAAAGTCATAACTCGTAAACGATGTACTCGATTATTTAGGTCTATAGTCCATAGTTTTTTCTATCGAAATGATAAAACGCTCGATCTTAATTCCATTTGCTGGATTTTATTCAGTATCGTCTTCTTCAAGCACCTCGCAAGCAAGGAAGGTAGCTAAAACGGGCTATTAATAATAATTATTTATTCCCAAAAAAACATAAAGTTACAGGTCGTGTTTTGATTTCTCGTACTGTAGTTATGTAACTCCTCTCAACATAATATACCATTCAAATTTTCTTTTACGAACATCAAACATTTATAAATGTACAACGAGTAAACGGACATTATTTCTGATTTTATAAAAAGTGGCCTACATCTTTCTAGTTGATTAGCTTTGAATAGCGTTCTTACTGTTGGTGAACTTTCCCAAAACAGAATGCTATATATTATGACACAATCAAATGCCTTTGTAAGGTCCAACATTATAGCATAAATCACAAAATGTCAAAATTGGACGATTTTTCTTAATAAAATCAACTATAATTTAAGTACTAAAACTGATGGAGAACGACGTTATGAATAAAAAATATTCGTAATACATCAAGAAATCATAATCCATAATCATTTCATATTTATCTATCACCAGTTTCTAATGATATAGCATAAATCACAAAATGTCAAAATTGGACGATTTTTCTTAATAAAATCAACTATAATTTAAGTACTAAAACTGATGGAGAAAGACGTTATGAATAAAAAATATTCCTAATGCATCAAGAAATCATAATCCATAATCATTTCATATTTATCCATCACCAGTTTCTAATGATATAGCATAAATCACAAAATGTCAAAATTGGACGATTTTTCTTAATAAAATCAACTATAATTTAAGTACTAAAACTGATGGAGAAAGACGTTATGAATAAAAAATATTCCTAATGCATCAAGAAATCATAATCCATAATCATTTCATATTTATCCATCACCAGTTTCTAATGATATAGCATAAATCACAAAATGTCAAAATTGGACGATTTTTCTTAATAAAATCAACTATAATTTAAGTACTAAAACTGATGGAGAAAGACGTTATGAATAAAAAATATTCCTAATGCATCAAGAAATCATAATCCATAATCATTTCATATTTATCCATCACCAGTTTCTAATGATATAGCATAAATCACAAAATGTCAAAATTGAACGATTTTTCTTAATAAAATCAACGATAATTTAAATACTAAAACTGATGGAGAAAGACGTTATGAACAAAAAATATTCCTAAAGCATCAAGAAATCATAATCCATAATTATTTCATATTTATCCATCACCAGTTTCTAATGATGTAACATAAATCACAAAATGTCAAAATTGGACGATTTTTCTTAATAAAATCAATTATAATTTAAGGATTAAAACTGATGGAGAAAGACGTTATGAATAAAAAATATTCCTAATGCATCAAGAAATCATAATCCATAATCATTTCATATTTATCTATCGCCAGTTTCTAATGATATGGCATAAAACACAAAATGTCAAAATTGGATGATTTTAGTGTACTTATCTAGGCTTCCCTCTGTTTGCGTGGTTTAGTATCTCGCTGGATATCCTTCATAGCCGTTCTTCTACAATACATCTTGTAGAAATGTTTCTTCTTTATTTAAATTCTTTTTATCGCATATCTGTTCTGCTCGCTGAACAAGGCTTGGATCACTATCCTCTTTTGTTGTGGATGGTGATGGGATGAAACCTGCAGGTATCTGCTCGTATGTGTCTTCTTTCGATACACTTCCAGTTCTGTCTTTTTAGTGACCAATATATCCAGGAAAGCTAATTGTTTCGCAGAATCCGTTTCCATAGTAAATTTGATCATGAAATGTTATGAGTTATGAGTTTAGGTGGTTCATGTAAAAATTGGCAATCACAGGTGATAGAGGTGATCTGATAGCTGCCCCTTCACATTACTCATAGAATTTTCCCTTCCAGCTAAAATATGCTGGAACTAGCCCTGGAATGATATAGCCTTGATTTCAAACATATCTGTTATATTTCCTGCGGCCTTGGTTTTCTTCAATGTTGTACAAGATTAACCAATTTCTGTGGGATACCCAGCAGCAACAGATTCTCAAAGTGTATATAATATGATTGGTTGAGTTGAAATCCACATTATTAGTTCTCCAAGATTTCTTTTTGTGTATAAGATGTAAGCTCGTATATAAAAGTGGGGGTTAACTTCGCATAGGTATAAATTATTGCACAATAATAAATGCTTATTAATACTTGTTTAATTTTTAGTGCTGTTTCCAACATCCGACAAATTATAGCCCCCGAGCTTTTCGCCGAAGGAAGATTAAAAATTAAATGTTCCGCGATAATTTACGACGTTTATCATAGAAGTTTCGAGATGAGTATTGAGTTGGATAAGCCGAAACCGAGATATGCCATAACGATGTCAACTCCGGCTACGATGGGATTCTCCGGAAGTAATATTCACGAAACTTATCCTTATAATACATGTAAGCACTTTTATTTAACCACTTTATTTTAAATTAATTTCAAATAATTTAATCAGTTAGATTAAGCCCGATTGATGACGCAACAATTCCAAGTAGAACGCCGAAACATCCCTCAAATTTAATTTTAATACTTTTCTTGTTAATATTGGTTTTACTTCGACGGTGAAAAGTGTTTTGGGTAGTGATTAATAAATAAAAGTTGTGTAATTAATAAAGAATTCTATGTGATATATAAAAAAAAAAGAAAATAACGAAATCCGCTGTTGTATATTCGAGATGTATATGTGTGTATATAATCCCCTGCTTTTTCCAACTGTAAATTTTCTGTATGATAAACGAGAGGTTTTCCTATTTTGGTGACAAGGCTGTGTTAAACACTATTACGGAATTAACCTTTAAGAAGATTTAAGAAGATTGTAACTTAGAGAGAAGCGTTAAATTAATTTTTTACGGATTTGCTAGATTTAATAATTCTCTTTGTATATTAAATAATTAATCTTATAACGAAGGTATTTTATGTTCAAATTTCTTTTTAATAAAATAAGAAATGTAGGTAATTGAGTACTACTAAATAAAAATGATATTAATTTGAGCTACTTGTACAGGTGAAAATTTCAATCCGATGTGTTTTGCTAATAATGTTAATGTATATTGTAAAGAATCTATATATACATGGGAATAAAAATATTTTATAATTGTGAATGATTAATTTCAAAAACCCCCACTTTTTTTAACTATTTTATTGATTGAATTAAATTTCGTATCGCATTTTAATTATAAAATCTTATAAGTTATAAGCGAAATGGTTGGTTTTAATCAATTTAACATCTAAGAAGTTTCGCCCGAAACGATATAACGCTCAAAGGGTTAACTTTCTTCAAAGCATGTAAGATAAACTTGACGTTTTGGCTTATTCAAGGAAATTCTCTGAACTTTCAATTAACCAGATATCTGGTTATAAAACGTCTTATTACAGCTTTGTATTAATTATTTTTATTCAAGTTAATTATTACTCAGCTATAAGTTAAAAATTTACCTATTAAAATATGTTGTATAAAAAGGCTATTAAGGAAGAAGCAATGATGCAAAAATGTTCTTTAATAAAAATCTATATCTTAAATTAATTAACATCATTTAATCATAAATAAAAAAAATAATTCAGGTACTAAATTAAATAATTTTTTTAATTTTAATCAAAATCCTTTTTTCCAAATTCATTTTTAATCCACGGATAAACTTCCGGGCAATCCTCGCAAGTATACATTAATTTCTCCTCTTGAAATATGGAACTGAAAACTTTACAAACGTTCGGTTTGTCGCAGACCATTTCCGAATACTTCTTCAATCGTTCCATGTCGACGTCGTCGTCGCAATTCCATACATCGCTCGTTTTCAATTTCGAGAGCGGAAGAGGATTCCGAATCCATTCAACTGCCTCGGAATTAGTCAGGAACCACACGTCCTGATACACCATCATGTTCTCAATGAATTTCTATAAACGAAAATGCAAAATCGACTAAAAAGATGAAATTAAATCTTTTTTAATTACTTACTTGAATAGCAATCAAATTATTTTCGTTCCGAAACCAATCCGATTTAAAATGAATCCCGAACGGTGCCCTATTCGTTAAATAATGCCGGTTAAAATTGGTTATTAAAATTTTATAAAGATCCAAATCTTTCGAACAATCGTTTATGTACGTACAAGTCGTTTTATTAACGATGAATTTATTTAAAATAATTTCCCAAACTCCCGGGTACGATCTTAACGGGCAATTTTGATTATTAGAGCAGTTATGGGGGATTTTAAATTGTAAGGTGTAAGGCCATAGCGGTGGATCTTGAAATGGGGCGATAATCGAGTTATCGTATAACAACCCGAACTCTTTCATCATTAAAAATTGTTTTTCTCCTCCTATTTTTAAATGGGGCACTCTCATCCCGAGAAGATTTTTTGCGCGAATTTTTGAAAATTTATTTAACATGTTTGCCTGGCCAATTATTTCATCGAAATAATCAATTAATGAGGCGTTGTTGGACCACCAATTCTTTGAATTTTTATTTCTAAAACATCAATCATTTAATTAATTTATTAATTATTGAGTAAAATCTCGATATAACTGACTAATACGGGGAGGGGAGCCAAAAGTTGGTTATATGACAAATTATTAACTTGGTTTTCTTTTACAATGAACACATTGTTTCGAAGCCGAAGCGCTGCTGAGGCAGTAGAATATACACAATTTAAAAAGATATTGAATCGATTGTTGAAGTTACAAGTGGTAATTAGTTGCCGAAGCAGCTATGCTGACTTAAATACGGCGTCTAGAAGACTAAATACTGCTTCCAGAATACTAAATATTGCTTTCAGAAGACAAACTTGGCTACCAAAAAACTGCATATTGCTTCAAAATTCTAAATATTACTTCCAATAGACTAACACTAATACCAAAAGATTAGATACTGCTCCAGAATACTAAATATTGCTTCCAATAGCTTAACACGAATACCAAAAGATTAGATAATGCCCCAGAAGACTAAATATTGCTTCTAGAAACCTAAATATTTCTTTCAGAAGAGTAAAACTGATCTAAGAACCTAAATACGGCGTCTAAAAGACTAAATACTGCTTCCAGAATACTAAATATTGCTTTCAGAAGACAAACTTGGTTACCAAAAAACTACATACTGCTTCAAAAGAGTAAATATTGCTTCCAATAGACTAACACTAATAGCAAAAGATTAGATACTGCTCCAGAAGATTAAATATTGCTTCCAGTAGCTTAGCACGAATACCAAAAGATTAGATAATGCCCCAGAAGACTAAATATTGCTTCTAAAAACCTAAATACTTCTTTCAGAAGACTAAACTGATCTAAGAACCTAAATACGGCGTCTAGAAGACTAAATACTGCTTCCAGAATACTAAATATTGTTTCCAGAAAATAAACTTGGTTATCAAAAGACTACATACTGCTTCAAAAGAGTAAATATTGCTTTCAGAAGATTAACACTGGTCTAGGAACGGAGATACGGCATCTAGAAGAATAAATATTGCTTCCAGAATACTAAATATTGCTTTCAGAAAACTAACACTGGTCTACGAACCTAAATACGGCGTTTAAAAGAATAAATATTGCTTCCAGAATACTAAATATTCCTTTCAGAAGACCAACTTGGCTACCAAAAGACTGGATACTGCTCCAGAAGACTAAATATTGCTTCTAGAAACCTAAATATTGCTTTTAGAAGACTAACACTGATCTAGGAACCTAAATACGGTGTCTAGAAGAATAAATATTGCTTCCAGAATACTAAATATTCCTTTCAGAAGACAAACTTGGCTACCAAAAGACAGGATAGTGCTCCAGAAGACTAAATATTGCTTCTAGAAACCTAAATATTGGTTTTAGAAGACTAACACTGGTCTAGGAACCTAAATACGGTGTCTAGAAAAATAAATATTGCTTCCAGAATACTAAATATTCCTTTCAGAAGACAAACTTGGCAACCAAAAGACAGGATACTGCTCCAGAAGACTAAGTATTGCTTCTAGAAACCTAAATATTGCTTTTAGAAGACTAACACTGATCTAGGAACCTAAATACGGTATCTAGAAGAATAAATATTGCTTCCAGAATACTAAATATTCCTTTTAGAAGACGAACTTGGCAACCAAAAGACTGGATACTGCTCCAGAAGACAAAATATTGCTTCTAGAAATCTAAATATTGCTTTCAGAAGGCTAACACTGGTCTAGGAACCTAAATACGGTGTCTAGAAGAATAAATATTGCTTCCAGAATACTAAATATTGCTTTCAGAAGACTAACACTGGTCTACGAACCTAAATACGGCGTTTAGAAGAATAAATATTGCTTCCAGAATACTAAATATTCCTTTCAGAAGACAAACTTGGCAACCAAAACACTAGATACTGCTCCAGAAGACTAAATATTGCTTCTAGAAACCTAAATATTGCTTTTAGAAGACTAATACTGATCTAGGAACCTAAATACGGTGTCTAGAAGAATATATATTGCTTCCAGAATACTAAATATTCGCCTTCGGAGATCGTAAATCACACTCAGGCAATCGATGTCTCCTCCGGTAGGTCCATCGCATCGTTCTAAACTTGTTTCACACTGATAAATCCGAATGTTTCTTAGTTTCTAGTTGAGATTTTTTAAATTTTGAAATTTTCGAACGTATCCTACTTCAAATTAATTCCTTTTATTAAGACTAAAGCTAACACTAGGACTAGATTTAACACTTAACTTAGAACTAGAAACGTTATATCCGAAATCCGTTCTAACGTGGTCCGTTATATCGAGATTTTACTATATTAATTAATTACGTTATTGAATTTAAAGCAATTTCATGTCCATAATTCCATAAAAGTTGAGTTTGATAATAATTATTGTTAAAATGATTAACAAAAAAAGTTGCTTTAATTGGGCACCCATTTGGGTTTAAAATATCCTGGTGGAACAAAGTTTTCGTGTACAAATCGAAATTGTCGTGATTAATTGGTCCTTCGAATGTGATTAAGATGATTTGCGGTACTTCTTGTGGTGGGAGATTCCCGGGGATTTTCGTACCTAAAAGTAAAATAAAAAATAAATTTTCGTTCTTTGTCTATTTGAAAATCGATTCGGTCCGTGTCGTATAACTCGACCGTGTGGACATCATGCGACGTAAACCTATCCATTTGGACACATTAACGTCCAATGTTACTCCATCAATAACCTTTTCACGAACATTATCGGGTTCTCATTCGGTTCATTACGCTTTTCGATTATTCGTCACCGGTTTAAATGAATTATGGTTCAATGAAATTTATAACTTTTTTTACCCACCATCAATTGAACAGAAACATCCGGGTAATTCGCAATCTGCGTTACAAAGTTTCGCCAAAAATTTATCTTTAATTAAATCACAATCAATCTCATCGCTCGAATCGATACAATCAATCGAACCGTCGCAGAAATAATCGTCTGGAATGCAAGTTCCATTTTTGCAACTTAAATAGTTATCTTCGCAATTAAATATGTTTGGTTTTTGGATTACTTCTTCTAAAATAACAAAATTAATATAATATTATTTAATTATTTTTTGATTAAGTACCTGAAATTAATTGGCAATTTTCCACGTTTTTTTGAACATCGCATATTTGTTTTTCAACATCGAAAACTAACCCAGAACTGCATCGAAACTCGAAAACTTCCCCTTCTAAGCACAAAAAGTACATTGAACATTCATCTTCGTTTTTAACGTATCCTAAAGAAGTTTCCGGGTTTCTATAAAAACGTCCATTTTCCAAGCAGGGAATTATTCCAATTTGGGTCGCCTCTAGAATTAATAAAGTAAATCTAATCAATCATTTCTAACATTATTAATAATCAACAATTCTTCACACTTTCAAAAAATAATTAAAAAAAGAAGAAGAAACATGTAATAACTTTAACTTGACTTTCTCTTACTCGTTTTTATTTCCTTCTAAAGAGACTAGTTTGTTTTTATTCGTTTAAGTATTAAGAAATGAAAGTATTAAGCAGGAAGTGATCGAAAGAAAGAAAGCACAAGTGAAATTAGTATCAAGCTGACACAGTTTTGTTGCTCTTGGCCGATTTAAATGATTTCATTTCGTTGAATTTCTTCTCAATTGATGACCTCAAAAATTTTCTTCTAAAGAGAGTTTCACTTTAAAAGTTTTTGATGGCCAAAACAAAAATTAAGGACTAGAAATATTAAATTTAACGCTTTATCTTGATTTTTGTGGTTGAAGCATCAAAATTTACTCAAATATAAATGAAATGACATTTTTAATTCAAATTCTGACTTAATAATTTAAACGTCAAATGTGACATTTAATTTTGACAGTTCATTAAATTATTAATTTTATTTAATTTATAAGATTAACAAATTTTTATTAGAAATTTATAACATTAAAAACCATCAAAAATTATATATATCATATTAAACGTTAATATTAGATATAAATTTAAATTAATTACCCTTGAAGATTGTTCGTTATCAGCAACATTTTAAGTAAAAACATCACAACTAAATCATTTACTGTTTATAATCCAATAATAATTAATAAAACCGATTTAATTTAAGAAATTAACTTCAACAACTCAAACGTAACGTTCGAAAATTCACAATAATGACATAACCTTAAACTGTCACAAATTAGTAACCTAATATTAAAATGTAATATAAAATTGGATTTATTAAATTAAACTTGTAATTAAGTTTAATAAAACAAATTGAAATTATTTATTATTAGAAATTAAAGTAAAAACACTTCAAAAGTGATATTGTTGAAATAAGTTTATTTATTTAAAGTTGGTATTGGAAAAATTTTAAATTCAAATTTTAATCGGAAAAATAAAAAATTAGAAATTGTTTACCTTTTTTTTATTTACCAAGATTAGTTACTAAAAATAACATTTTTAGTATAAATTATTCATAAAATATGATTTTAATACAATTCAATGTGAAGTGTGAAATATTAAACATTATCGTAGGAAATGTCAAATTTGACGTTTAACCTTAAATTAATAGAAACGTCACATTTAATTAATATTTTATGTTCTAATTAACTTAAATATGTCTTATTTATTACTTTTTCATTTTTAGGATAGAAACATTTACTTACCTATTATCGTAAATAATAAAATAATTTTGTAAACGCGACCAACACATTTGTGAACACTGTACATGGCACAGTCAAGTCCGCACTATCACGTGGTTTCTTTAAACTTTCCCGTCAAGGCGGGATTCAAGATAAAATTGTACGATTTCTATTCTTCGGCGTGTCACAACAGCGACAATTTTCCAACCAGACGCGGATTTAAGACAATTTTCTTTTTCTTTGCACAAAGCTAAGACAATAATCGTTTTTAGTCCCATTCTGAATGAGTTTCTTCCTTTTTTGATTTAATTGTGTGAGAAATGAAGAAAAAACTTTCTTTTTTCACAATAAAAACTTCTATAGAAACCAAAATCATCAAGTTTGACAAATAAAAAAATTCTCAGGTTAAATTATCATCAAAAATTTTCATTCACTCAATTCCGATTAAAAATTATTCATCAAAATTGAGAACATAGGTGTTGTAATAACCGCTTTGGAGTTCATTAACATGACCCCACAAAACGTTTACAAGTAATTCGTTAAAATAACGTTTAAACTTGGTTTAATTTTTATCTTTTAGAGTTGCAAAAAATTTTTATAAAAAATTAACCGACGTTTTCACCTTTACAACCCCGGCGAAATCAAATCGAATCCAAAACAAAGGATTTTCAACGAGAAAACACAAAAAATTTCGTAACCGCATCAAAAAAATCTACAAAAATAAATTAAAAACCATCGAAGAACACTCAATACGCGAAGCTTTAGATTCTTTGGAAGTTTTTATAAAAAAAAGTCAACATCAATTGGAATTTTCTATTAGCGATCAAATTTTAGGGGGGAAATTACTGAATAGGAAACTAGAAATTACAAGTTTTAGGTCAAACTTTGACCTCACATCCAAGAAACCGCAAGAGTACAGTAAAGTTTGGGACTTCCGTGCCTTTAGAGATAACGGTAAAGTCGAGGGACAAGAATTGGCCAAAACGATCGAACACCATCACCATACCAAACTCCTAACCGATGTTAAACTGATGACGAGCGTTTAATTTCGTGTCAAAAAGTATTTCGATTCAAATCTATCAAAATGTCAAAAAATTATGAGGTTAAAAATTTTTACTTAAATTAATTATTGTAAATTATATTAAAATCATTTCGAATAAAAAGTTCATCTTCGTTTCTTAACTTTAGCCCTTCCTTTCTTTCTTCGCCCGTGATCTTTTTTTCGTGTTGATTTCGTCGATTTCGGCGCGGGAACAGCGTTGGGACGCTTCGTGATCAAATGTTGCTCGACTAAATCAGCCAATTTACCTTGTTCGGCTAACATTGATAAAAAGGTACAAATAAATTCATCGTAATTGTACGTTCTTCGACAATCATCAATCTAAAACAATCAATTAATAATAATCAAAACAATAAGTTAACTAAAATCAAATCAAATTACGAATTAATTCAAGAATCATCATGTGGCTTCAAAATCGATAATCTTTTTTAATTGATGAGAGAAATTACTCGTTACAAATATATATTCAACGTGACTAATTCTAAGTCTTGTGTTAGTTCTAGTGATAGTACTAGTGTAAAACTAGAACTAACACTAGACTTAGAACTAGAATCATTCGGGTTTAGCCGTCTTTAGAGACGTGCGGCTAAACCCGAAAGTTTCTAGTTCTAGGTCTTGTGTTAGTTTTAATGATGGTGTAAAACTTTGACAAATTGTTGTGAAGTTGGTTACAGTTGGTGACATTGAATTTGTGTCACTTTGACGTTTAAACTTTATTCAAAAATTTATTAAAAAAAATAAATTTATCCACGACTACCTTATAATATATGCCTTATAAATGAGTTTTCTAAAACGAAAGGGTAGTCATTTTTTACAAAGTGAATAATAGCGGTGAATAATCAGTATTTACGGGTAATCAACTTGCTTAATTATTTGAAACGTCAAAATTTCAAGAAACGTCATTTTAATCTAATTTTTTAGGACATTGGCATTAAAAAAAAACGTAAATGAATTCCTTTTTTTCGTATGATTTAAGCATAAATTAATTAATTTTCGTAAAAGAAAACATGACGTTTCATAAAATTGATATTTAATTTTGACAAATTGTTGTGAAGTTGGTTACAGTTGGTGACATTGAATTTGTGTCACATTGACGTTTAAACTTTATTCAAAAATTTATTAAAAAAATAAATTTATCCATGACTACCTTATAATATATGCCTTATAAATGAGTTTTCTAAAACGAAAGGGTAGTCATTTTTCACAAAGTGAATAATAGCGGTGAATAATCAGTATTTTGGGTAATCAACTTGATTAATTATTTCAAACGTCAAAATTTTAAGAAACGTCATTTTAATCTAATTTTTTAGGATATTGGCATTAAAAAAATGTAAATAAATTCTTTTTTCATATGATTTAAGCATAAATTAATTAATTTTCGTGAAAAAAAAAACGACTTTTCATAAAATTGACACTTAATTTTGACAAATTGTTGTGAAGTTGGTTACAGTTGGTGACATTTAATTTGTATCACTTTGACGTTTAATCTTTATTCAAAAATTTATTAAAAAAAATAAATTTATGGAATCAATTTCAATAGTAGCTATGGTTTCTATGGAAATATATTTTTGTCTTAATTGAAATTAACTGTATAGTTATATAAATGAAGAATTTTACCTGTTGAAGCTGTAGCGACTGTAACATCAGGTGGTAACGAAGAAATAATCTTCTTTAATAAAGACGCACGGCTAAACCCGATACTTTCTAGTTCTAGGTCTAGTGTTAGTTCTAGTATAGTGTATTTATTAATTAATTATCGTACCCGACGTCATCATTGCAAGTAGGCAACCAACATCACAGTATAAGTGTTGCAATACGCAAAGCGCGTATTATAAAATAAATACTGTGATATTGGTTGTATACTTGCAATGATGACGTCAGGTAGGATAATTAATTAACACAGAGTCTATTGAAATTGTTATGCATCAAAAGACTTTCATTTCATCTTTACTTTTAAGTTTATCAGATTGATATTAAGCGTCGCTTTTTAAGCGACATGATGATTCTTAAATTTTTCCCAAATTACTTTATATTTATTTTGTTTATCATTTTCATCCTTTAAATTCATTTCGCACAAACAAATTTCGTGCTCCAAATTCCTTAACAACGCCAATAAATCTTGAGGGGCAAAAGTGTGCGTTTCTAATAACTCGTTCTTTTTCTCCGCAACGACGGTGTCCCCATCGCTGGTTCGTACTCTTGCGTGACCGGTGTTGTAAGATTTCTTTTGGGATTCCTCATTAATCCTTTTTCCATTGATATTAATCCCAATTTTTTCTTTACTCTCATCGTTGGGCATTTTTAAAACGACGAATCGTTTAAAATCGCGGGAACTGGGGCTATTTTGAGGTGCGGTCCAATTCCACGCCGTCGTAGGCGAATTAAAAGCTGACCCAACCTCGGATGATGTATCCGTACTTGAAGTACTCGGAGCCGGTGAGGTTTGAATCGTTAATGGGGTTGAATAATCTAATGGACACATTAAAACTTTATCTTTAATTTCGGGTTCGTTTTTAACTTCGTTAATTTCGGCGTTTTCTGAATCAACTAAATCGATTATTTCGGTTTTTTCTTCTTCTTTTTTATGGATTTCTTCTTTATTAATTTTTTCTTTGTCTTTATCTGAATGTTTAATCTTCATGAGTTGTTGTAAAGCGTCTAAAACGATTTGTTTATTAGTTTTAAGCATTTTTAATTTGTGAGTTATCGCTAATCGCCGATCAGGAACTACCGCCATTAAATTAAAACGAATATCATGGTATTGTTCCCCAGCTGTTAAACCAAGCCGGTCGCTCATAACACCTCGAAATTTTTCAGTCCAATCCCCTGTTTCGATGGTCCAAGGACCATGATCGATTGGAAAAGGTTTTAATCCATCCAATTCAAATAATCTCCCATTTATTGGAACGAAACTAACGAAATGAAAAGCTTCCCCGGTGAATCTCCCAGTTGATACACCACCCCCGGTTTTGTCTAATCTCCGTTTAGCTTGGGGCATTGCATGCGAATTATGAGCACATGCTAATTCTGGCGTGTTCCCGATGGCCCATCCTTTATTTTCAGGGGACATCCCGTGAGTGTGCTGTTTTAACCGACTCAAAGTGTCCCCTAAATGAATATTGGGGCAATTTAAAAGTATCGAAATCAACGCGTGAGTAGCACAACTATTCGGGACCATTTGTTGGGCGAAAAAAATGTTGTTCACGATGTCTTCGTCTTTTACAAACACTTCCGTTTGTTCCACGACTTTTCGCCGCGATCTTCGTTCCTCGATCCATCGGAATAAAAAGATAAATCCGTATACAGGACTATCTAAGGGTTTGTTTAGGTCGTAAATTTCTTCTACTTGGACTCCTTTTACACCGAAATCTTCTAAGAGGAGGGTAAATAGCCCGGGATCACTTTCTAATTCTAACCAACCTTCCGTTAATTCCTTTATATCGACTGGCATCACTATTTTTGCGGGGTTTCAATAAAACTTTGAAGTTTAAAACTTAGGTTATGTTGAACTTGACAAGAAGTAATTTTAATGGATTTTTTGGATTAATTTATTTCTAAATTTGCGTTTTATTGATTTTAACTAATAAATTGATTTAATTAAGTACTAAATCGCTTTATAAACGATTAAATTAAAAATGAAATAAATTTTTTGATTGTGTCAAATTGGTTGCCTATATATAATTGTTAATTTTTTTACTTTATAAGTAAAAATGCAAATTTGAAACCATATAAAATCTTTAATTATGTAAATTTGGAAGGAAAAATACTATGATCAGTAACAAAAAAGGATATAAAAATGCGAGGACTATCTAAATCTAAGAGTTTGTTTAGATTTTAGATTATAAATTTCCTCTACTTGGACTCCTTTTAAGTCTTCTAAGACGAGGGTAAATAGCCCAGGATCACTTTCTAATTCTAACCAACCTTCCGTTAATTCCTTTATATCGACTGGCATCACTATTTTTGGGGTTTCAATAAAAGTTTGAAGTTTAAAACTTAGGTTATGTTGAGCTTGACAAGAAGTAATTTTAAGGGCTTTTTTAGAATAATTTATTTCTAAATTTGTGTTCTAATGATTTTAATTAATAAATTGATTTCATAAGGTACTTTATCGTTTTATAAACGATTAAATTAAAATTAATTTTTTGATTGTGTAAAATTAGTTGCCTATATACAATTATGTCACTTGTCATTAATTTTTTACTTTATAAATAAAAATGCAAATTTAAAACCATATAAAGTCTTTTATTCATAATCAACATTTATATATAAGTTTGGAAGGAAAAATACCATGACCAGTAACAAAAAAAAAGGAGATAAAATGCGATTTCGTAACAATTTAAATCAATTAACTTTGCATCTAAAAAATCAGCTAAAACATACACTTTAACTTTGTTCCAGTTGTTTGTAGTAATTAAAAATAAATCTAAAAATGAATAACAAAAAGAAATTTGTTGCCCTAAAATTTCACTTAAAATAGTTCAAATAAATATCAAGCTTAATTCCATATTACGTTTTATTTAACTTTTTTTTCTTATTTCTTTTTAATTTTTTTTAAGGCAGTATATATCGTTTATAACAACATTGTTTCGGGGTTTGTACAAGCTGCAGTGAATACCTGCATCCATTGAGCTGCCACGGCTCCATCAACAACCCTATGATCTGCGCTTAAAGTGACCCACATCATATTTGCTGTTGTAAATCTAAACAATTATTGAAATTACACAATAATAGAAATAAAATGTTGTTTAATTCATTTACCCTTTAGGAGAATTATCAGGAATTAATGTTTTCGTGCTAGTTCCAACTGCTAAAATGCAGCTTTGGGGTGGATTAATAATGGCACTAAAATTTGTTGTATTAAACATTCCTAAATTGGAGATGGTGAAGGTTCCGCCTTGGTACTCGGCTGGTTGGAGTTTTCCAGCTCTGGCTTTTGCTGCTAAGGCTTTCACTTCTTGGCTAATTGTAACTAAACCTTTACGGTTAGCTTCAAATACAATCGGGGTTATAAGACCTTTATCAGTGGATACGGCTACGCTTACATCACAACTTGTGTGTCTACCCAAAAAAGAAAACTTTAAATATCATCAGCACCAAAAAAAAATAAAACTTACTGTCTAATAACGGTGTCTAACCAATACGAATTTGCCTCTGGCACTTTCATACAAGCAAAAGCGCAAGCTTTAATAATAAGGTCGTTAACGCTAATTTTAATTTTATCCTTTTCAAGTGATTTGTTAAATATCGCCCTCGCCGCTAACAATTTATCAACGTTGATGTGACCTGAGACGTAAAAGTGCGGAATGGTTTGTTTGCTTTGAAGTAGTCTTTTCGCGATAGTCGCCCGCATTCCCGAAACTGGCAAATCGACAAAAGCTGAAGGTGCCCCCCCTGCTCCTGGAATAGGTCCTGTTGGAACTGCATACCCTGGTTTACCACTGGGAGCTGCCGCCGCCGCTCCTGCTGGTAATGAACCCAAGTCTTTAGAGGTTATGGACCCAAATAATCCAGTACCTTTTCCTTGAAGACGAATTTGTCTTTGTTCCGCCAATCGTTTCGCCATCGGACTAGCATAAACTCTTGCAGTTGGATCCGCCGGCGAAATTGGTTGTGGAGGTGCAGCTGTAGCTGGTGCTGCTGCAGGAGGTGGTGCTGCTGCAGCTGGGGCTGCCGCAGACGGTGCTGAAGGTGCTTTAGCTTTAGGAGCAATCGCCGCTCCATCATCTTTAAAATCTTTAAACGCACCCACATCTTCTTGCTTCTCCACAATTATACAAACAAGCCTTCCAACGGGAATTCCCTTAGTTCCCGCTGCAATGAGTATTTTAGCTAAATAACCTTCCTCAGGCGTTTCAAAAGCCATCGTAGCTTTGTCAGTTTCAATTTCCGCGAGTAAATCGCCCTCGTTTAATTTATCACCTTCCTTTTTCGCCCAACTTATTATCGTACCCTCTTCCATTGTAGGCGATAAAGCGGGCAAAGAGACTTTTATGTGCGTCGGATAATCCGCGTAAAATCTCGCCAACCTCGGTTCCCATTGTAACGATTGATTCGTTCTCGAAAATAATCCTTTTCTAGAAAAAAAATTATAATGAATGGAGAAACGTCACTTTGACATTTAATTTTAAGGTTAGAACATTTTTATTTAACTCAATAAAAATAAGTTTTTGAGTTTCTACTTATAAATATAATCCGATTGTGTCTTTAAATTTAATTTTTTCGTTCTCTCGCCGTTTAAGGGGGTCCAAAAATAATTAATAAATTATTTAGAAACAAAAAACGTCACTTTGACATTTAATTTTAAGGTTAGGAAATTTTTATTTAACTCCATAATAAAAGTAAACTCGGTTTTTGAGTTTTTAATTATAAATATAATCCGATTGTGTCCTTAAATTTAATTTTTTCGTTTTCTCTCCGTTTAAGGGGGTCTAAAAATAATTAATAAATTATTTAGAAACAAGAAACGTCACTTTGACATTTAATTTTAAGGTTAGAAAATTTTTATTTAACTCGATAAAAATAAAAGTAAACTTTGTTTTTGAGTTTCTACTTATAAATATAATCCGATTGTCTCTAAATTTAATTTTTTCGTTTTCTCACCGCTTAAGGGAGTCCAAAAATAATTAATGAATTATTTAGAAACAATAAACGTCACTTTGACATTTAATTTTAAGGTTAGGAAATTTTTGACGTGTATTTTTTGAGATTAAAAGCGAATTTACTCAATAAAAATAAAAGTGAGTCCTTGAGTTTCTACTTAAAAATATAATCTTAATGTGACTCTAAATTTAATTTTTTCGTTCTGTGGGTCTAAAAACAACTCAAGTTATTCAAGTCTTGTATTAAAAATAACCCACCTGTCCTAATAACCACTTTAAATAACACGTGATTTTAATTTATAAATAACACTTTTCTAAAAGGAAATTATTAAAAAGAAACTTACGTGTTGCTAGATTTTTTTCGAACGCATTCCACACTAAAAGCTTTGAGAAAACACGTCCTAGCTTCGTGTCTTGAAGTGCCCCTCACCAATAAATTACGTACAGCGGTGGTTCTGATCATCCTTCACCGTCCCCAGGCCCCGAGAAACACACTTTTCAATACAAAAAGCTCCCTTAAAAATAGAGGATAACCGACCCACGTCCTCTCTGGCTAGGTCATTTAAAAGACTTTTACACAACGCCGCGATAAAAACGTGACGCGTTAAAAAATTTTTTTACTCGTGACACATGAGTGACAGAACAGTCAAATCGTTTAATTTTGCGGTTATTATTTGGGCCCCACTTCAATTAAAACCTTGTATTACAACTAAACGAACTGAAGATGACTTTTACCGTGATCATGTGCCCTTGCTCCACTTAATCTTTCTACGGTGCATGCGCCATCAAGTTTTGAATCGTAAATGTATTATTAAAAAGAATGATTTTGTGATAAAATGAGGTTTAAGGTTAGAATTATTTTTTTAAAGTTATTCTTTAAGTTTAAAAAGTCGCAATAAGTTCATAACTTAATAAATAAGTCATTTTAATTCATTTTATACCCGGAAATAATTTATAACAAAAAAAATGCTTCATTAACTTAAAAAAAATTAAAAATAATTCATTTGACAGTTAACATAACCTCATTTATTTATGTTTCAATGACAGGTGTCAATAAATAAATGAGGTTATATTTTTTTAATTATAAACATTTTAATTTTATCTTTATAACCACCAAAATAATCATCTAATAGGTATTAAATAAATAATTAAAACCAATTATTTTTTAATTCCTTTTATATATTGCGCATGCGTCCTTAATTTGAAACCCCCCTAAAAAGTCACACCATGAGGTTACATTTTTGTATTCACTTTTAAGTCAGTTTTACCACGTTTACCACGATGAGTGGTTCCGAATCTTTATTATCATGTGCTATAAACGTAGAATGGGTAAATCGTCACGGTGTGGTGACGAGAAAATTATCGTTAAAATCAGGAAATTTAAGAATTTTACGAAACGAGCATCGACAAATGTTCGTTGAAATAACTGGGGGAAAACTCGCCCCCGAACGATTACAATTAAAAGGAATATCCGTCCATAATAAGTTTATGAACGAAGGGAAAGCTTCGATAAAGTTTCAAGACCACGGGTGCACTCTATTTATTTCAAACGCACCACCTGGAAGTTTGTTAGAATTTTTACGAACAATTTTTATTAAAATGACGGGGGAGAAGGCCCAAAACAAAGATATTCCGTTAAGGGAACAACTCCTTTCTAATAAACAGCGTCAATTTGATGAGATTAGTCCTGTAACTAACGAAGAATTTGTTAAATCGCATAAAAGAGCAACTAAAAGGACCGAAACAACCCCTTCACCATTAAGTAGAAAGCGTAAATTAAGCGGTGGAGAGAGCAAAGGAGCTAAACGACTTAATTCAGCTTTAAATAGTTTTAACGAAGCCTTAAACCAAGAACAAAAACGAATTTTAGATGTGTGTTTATCGGGAGTTAATGTTTTTTTTACCGGTAGTGCTGGGACGGGGAAAAGTTATTTGTTAAAGAAGATTATTTCTTCGTTACCACCTGATGTTACAGTCGCTACAGCTTCAACAGGTAAAATTCTTTATTTATATTAATATACAGTTAATTTCACTTAAGATGTGAAATATATTTATTAATACAAAAATAGAAACCAAGACTACTATTGAAATTGATTCCATAAATTAATTTTTTTAAATAAATTTTTGAATAAAGTTTAAACGTCAATTTGACACAAATTCAATGTCACCAACTGTAACCAACTTCACAACAATTTGTCAACTTTATGAAAGGTCATGTCTTTTTATGAAAATTAATTAATTTATGCTTAAATCACAGGAAAAAAGGAATTTATTTACGTTTTTTTAGTGCCAAGCCTAAGAAAGTCCTAAAAAATTAGATTAAAATGACGTTTCTTAAAATTTTGACGTTTCAATTAATTAATCAAGTTGATTACCCGTAAATACTGATTATTCACCGCTATTATTCACCTTGTAAAAAATGACTACCCTTTCGCTTTAGAAAACTCATTTATAAGGCATGTATTATAAGTTAGTCATGGACAAATTTTTTTTTTTTAATAAATTTGTGAATAAAGTTTAATCGTCAAAGTGACACAAATTCAATATCACCAACCGTAACCAACTTCACAACAATTTGTCAAAATTAAATGTCAATTTTATGAAACGTCGTTTTTTACGAAAATTAATTAATTTATGCTTAAATCTTTGGCTTAAATCATACGAAAAAAGGAATTTATTTATGTTTTTTTAATGTGAAACCTTTAGAAAGTCCTAAAAAATTAAATTAAATTGACGTTTTTTGAAATTTTGACGTTTCAAATAATTATTCAAGTCTGTCAAGTTGATTACCGGCAGTCGTGGACAAAAATATACAACAATGTAGCGCTGAATAACAAATAAAACTAAACTAACACTTGGACTAGAACTAACACTAGACCTAGAAACAATCCGCTTAGTTGTAGCTCTCTTAAGACGGCTGATAGGTCGTAAGTAGCGCTAGTTAGCATAAAATATCACTATGTTGCATATTTTTATTGAACTAAAACTAGAACTAACACTAGACCTAGAACTAGAAACATTCTGGTTTAGCCGTGCATCTTTAGACGTCTAGTTTTACACTATCACTAGAACTAACACAAGACCTAGAACTAGAATCATTCGGGTTTAGCCGTCTTGAGAGACGTGCGGCTAAATCCGAATATTTCTAGTTCTCGGTCTAGTGTTAGTTCTAGTTTTGCACTATCACTAGAACTAACACTAGACCTAGAACTAAAAACATTCCGTTTAGCAGTACCTTTCTTAAGACGGCTGGTAGGTGGCAGGTAGCGCTAGTTAGCATAAAATATCTCTATGTTGTATATTTTTATTGAACTAAAACTAACACTTAATTACTTTTAAAGGTGTTGCTGCTTGTCATATTGGTGGAATAACCCTCCATCAATTTGCCGGGATAGGAAACGGTGAAGCAACTTTAGAACGAGCAAAAGAATTAGCGATGAAACCGGTATCGGCTAAAAATTGGCGCAAATGCAAACATTTAATAATCGATGAAGTTTCAATGATCGATGCTCAATTCTTCGAAAAAATCGAATCAGTAGCCCGGCATGTTCGTAATAACACAAAACCATTTGGTGGTCTCCAATTAATTTTGTGTGGTGATTTTTTTCAACTTCCCCCTGTTAAGCGAGACATAAAAAAGAATGAGGCTATATTTTGTTTTCAAACCCCCGTTTGGAAAGATTGTGTTGATCGAACTTTCGAATTAACGATTGTGCATCGACAATCCGATGAGGGTTTTGTGAAAATTTTAAACAGTATTCGCATCGGGAAGGTAACCGATGAAATAACTTCCGTTTTAACATCAACGGCTAAACATAAAATTGAAGAAAATGGGATTTTAGCGACAAGGTTATGTTCGCATACAAACGATGCTAATGTTATTAACGAATCGAGATTAAAAGCCCTTACCGGGGAATCAAAAATTTTTCAAGCTCAAGATAGCGATCCAACTTCCACAAAACATTTAGACCAATCCACTCCTGTACCTGGTAAAATAATTTTAAAAGTCGGAGCACAAGTGATGTTATTAAAAAATATAAATGTTACAAATGGATTAGTAAATGGAGCGAGGGGTGTTATTAAACGATTCGAAGGTGAACTCCCTGTCGTTGGAATGCGAAACAACAAAGAATACGTAGCTAAACCGGAAAAATGGCTCGTTAAAACAGCAAGAGGAAACACAATTTCTCGAATGCAAGTTCCGTTAAAACTCGCTTGGGCTTTTTCTATACATAAATCGCAAGGATTAACTTTAGATTGTGTTGAAATGTCTTTAGCGAGAGTTTTCGAAGCGGGACAAGCGTATGTTGCTTTGTCAAGAGCTAAAAGCTTGGAAACTTTGAGGATTTTAGATTTCAAATCAACGCAAGTTTGGGCTAATCAAGACGTTGTTAAATTTTATAAAAGACTTAAGGAGGAAGTAGAGATGTTTCGAGTTATTCCATTGGGGAAAAAGAACTCTTTTAGTGATCTCAGGGCGAAAAAGACTGCTAAAAGTATTAATAAGAAATTATTTTTAGACAAACCTTTAGTTAATATTAATTGATTTTAAACAAAAATAAAGTTTTTAATAATTTATTTTTTTGTTTTTATACCTATTAATGTTTTTTTTCGTTAAATAGTTAAGCAACAACTACTTCAACGGGTGGAATAAACTTCCAAACATGTTCCATTGGGTTGTTGATGTTCCCACTGGAGTTATCAGGTGATGAACATTGTATATCAATTTTGTAATGGCCCGGTGTGAAGAAGATTACGTTACAGGAATGTTGAGCTTCAGCTTCTGGTTGTAAATTAGATAATAATTTCCTAAAAAAAAGAATTTTTAAATACCTTTCAAATAACCAAGAGGTGATTCGGATTATCTAAAGTGCTGATTTCAACAATGTGAAAGTATTTAAAGTATTAAATTTCACTCCTACATATCAAATTAAATCAAACAAATCTAATATTGTAAAATTAATTGTTAAATTTGACAAATGAGGTTATGTTAAATGTCAAATTTAAATTACTTTTCTTTGAAGTTAATTCACTGAATATAATTATAAACTTAAAGTGGTGTAGAATTTAGTTGATTTTCCAATTCGTCTCTACACCATATAAGAATTTGATCTTGAAGTGTTTAATCATAAACACTTTGTATTAAAATTTCCATCCTTTCAATAACTAAGAGGTGATTCGGTTTATCTAAAGTGCTAATTTCAACAACGAGAAAGTATCAGTAATTTAAAGTATTAAATTTCACTCCTACACATCAAATTAATTCAAACAAACCTAATATTGTTGTAAAATTGATAAATTTGACAAGTGAGGTTATGTTAAATGTCAAATTTAAATTACTTTTCTTTGAAGTTAATTCACTGAATATAATTGTAAACTTAAAGTGGACTAGAATTTAGTTGATTTTCCAATTCGTCTCTACACCATATAAGAATTTGATCTTGAAGTGTTTAATCATAAACATGTTGTATTAAAATTTCCATCTTTTCAATAACCAAGAGGTGATTCGGATTATTTAAAGTGCTAATTTCAACAACGAGAAAGTATCAGTAATTTAAAGTATTAAATTTCACTCCTACACATCAAATTAATTCAAACAAACCTAATATTGTTGTAAAATTGATAAATTTGACAAGTGAGGTTATGTTAAATGTCAAATTTAAATTACTTTTCTTTGAAGTTAATTCACTGAATATAATTATAAACTTAAAGTGGTGTAGAATTTAGTTGATTTTCCAATCTTGAAATGTTTAAATAACAAAATTGATAAATTTGACAAGTGAGGTTATGTTAAATGTCAAATTTTTTCTCCCTAAAAACTTACTTTGTTGAGCCTGCCGTTGCAACTCTCGTATCTAACTTATAATTACAAACTCCATTTTGATAATCTTGATAAAATTGTATTGATAAAGTTAATTGTTGAAGTGTTTTTTCCAAACAATTCGTTATTTTAATGCAGGTCTCTAAACAATCTCCGATTTCGCAATTAATCGTTTCTTGCGGCTTCATTAAATCTCCGTTAATGGTTATATCTATACATCAAAGTTTAATTTAGTTAATTATTATTAATATTTATCGATTTAACGAACCAAATTTTAATGGCGACATTCTTACGATATCCAACATATGAGGTGTTAACGTAATCCCGGTTAAAGTCGCTTTACCCTCCCTTTCCGTAGCTACTAAATGCCACCGCAAATCGACTAAATTAGAGATGTGTTCCGAACAAATTTTATCTAACAAATCAACTTTATCAACACCCCCAGTTTGGTCCATATACAATTTAGTTAATTTAGATAAAGGGCATCTATCCACAGGAACTGGAACCCTACAAATTTCGTGCCCTTGGATTAACATGTGTTTGGTTGGGGTGTAATATAGCTCCATTTCTTGCGATGTTAAATTCGCTACATCGAGAACTAAATAAAACTGCGTTGAGCTAAAACGGGGAAATTATTGTTATTTAATTAACAAGTTAGTTAATTATTTACGTTTCAGCTGGGATTACATCCCAATCGATGACATGGAGGGATGGCATCATTTCTAAAGTTAAAAATACACAACAAGATCTGCAATAACCAGCTTGAAACCCGGCGCCTCCGCTATATCGTAATTGAAGTTGCCCTTCGACGACTAAAGACGATTCGTGTGGGGGTAAAGTTAACGCACCACCTGGTGAGGTGCAACCGTGTATCGTCATACTAGATTGACCCGAATTTGATGAACTAAAAAAGTTAATTAATTAATAAATTTTAAAAAAATCATTATTATACCGAACGCTTGAAGTTAATTCGCTCCTCCTCCCTTGGAAACTACTCCCTATTGCGCTATGATTAGGGCTATTTAACCTCGAATGTAAAGGAAGCCCCCGTGTAAAATAGTTATTAATTAAATTATTTAATCCATAATTAGGTGCGACGAAATTAGCAGCCGAATATAATTGTAAAGTTAAAGTGGCACTAGAATGTGGTTGCAACGGAAGTTGATTTTCCAATTCCTCTTTGGACCATTTAAAAATTTGATCTTGAAGTGTTTGATCGTAAACGCTTTGTATTGAAACTTCCATCATCTCAATCGGGACATTCCCCATATTTGTAAACGTAATAACACACTCAGAACTTTCACCATTATACAAACTAACACTCGCGGAAGTAACAACGTTCTCAAAATTTTGAAACGTCGAAAACGTCGCGCTTTGCGGCAAAGACGTTTTAACCTCAACGATGGGTAAAGCTGGAATCACCTCGATTATGTATTTCGGGAGAAATCCTTTCATATGTTTTAATCGACAATTTGATTTAACCCCCAAAGTGTGAGTGCTGTAACCTAAAATTTCTAATTCTCCGTTTTCTTTCGGGGTTCCATTCAATGTTAGATGAGTGGGGGAATCCGGTAATAAAACAACGGTTTCAGGGATTGACTCAAAAACGATTCCTCCAGTTAATAACCTCATATTTGAAACTCTTAATTCAAACGGTAAGGGGTTAACCAATTTTAGCGTCACTTCGCACATATCATTTTCAATCCATAAAAAGTCCATCTTACTCGAAGGCTTATTACTTTTCCGTTCCAAACTTCCAAAATTAATTGGGGTAAACAAAAACGGTCCTAAATCTTGTTTTAAAGCTTGAACTTTCCTCGGTTGAGTGTGCGGTTGTAAATTTTTTATTGTAAATCCGATACATAAAGGGATATTTACTAAGTTTGCTGGAGGGATTACGATTCCGTTTTCTAAGGCTAGAGGAACTGGGGCTCCTTCGCAAAGAGATGCTAAAGACTTTAATAAAGTTGTTTTGATTTAAATTAGATTATTAAAACGTTTCAATTAAGTTACCTGAAGTTGCAAAGTAAATTCCTTTTTGTTATCGGGGTTTAAATGATCCCACATCGTTTGGAGAAGAAAAGTCATGTGACGAGTTGCTAAAGCTGAATTCCCCATGCGTTTAGCAGCCACTACTAATTCCAATAAAAGTTGGATTTGTAAAGAAGGCCAACCTATTGTTTAAAAAATTAATATGAAATGATTTTAAAATTAATTAGGTGATGCGTTATTTATGGCATTGTTATTTTTGATTTATAAATTTGAGAATTTCATCTTCAAATACTTTTTCTTGGAAATATCAATAATATTACCTTATCAAACCTAATATTGTTGTAAAATTGATAAATTTGACAAGTGAGGTTATGTTAAATGTCAAATTTAAATCACTTTTCTTTTAAGCTAATTTACTGAATATAATTGTAAACTTAAAGTGGTTTAGAATTTAATTGATTTTCCAATTCGTCTCTACACCATATAAGAATTTGATCTTGAAATGTTTAATCATAAACACTTTGTATTGAAATTTCCGTCCTTTCAACAACCAAGAGGTGATTCGGATTATTTAAAGTGCTAATTTCAACAACGAGAAAGTATCAGTAATTTAAAGTATTAAATTTTACTCCTACATATCAAATTAATTCAAACAAACCTAATATTGTTGTAAAATTGATAAATTTGACAAGTGAGGTTATGTTAAATGTCAAATTTAAATTACTTTTCTTTTAAGCTAAGTCACTAAATATATTGTAAACTTAAAGTGACACTAGAATTTAGCTGATTTTCCAATTCTCTAAGTCTCTCAAGACGGCTAAACCCGAATGATTCGAGTTGTTGGTCTAGTGTTAGTTCTAGTTTTACACTAGCACTATATAGACAACAATTTAGCGCTTAATAACAATTCAAATTAGAACTAACAAGATCTACAACTAGAAAGTTTCGGGTTTAACCGTGCGTAGTAAGTTTTCAAGTTATTTTGATTTTAATTTTTAAGCTTTTTAAAACTCCATATCTCACCAAACGTTCATTCTAGAAACCTGTAATTGTGCACGATTACTCTTCAAATGCTGTTAAACAGATTGTAGTTTACTGTATCACAGTATCTTAGATAGAGTATATGGGGCATACCATTTAAAATTTTCGACTTTCTTGCCATTGAATGCGGAAAAACGGTTATTAAATTTTTGACCACTCTGTATGATACTGTGATACAGCAAATGGCAATCTATTTGACAGTATTTGAAGAGTAATCGTGCACATTTAGAACTTTGTCCACGACTACTTTATAATATATTCTTTATAAATGAGTTTCACGGAGTGAATAATCATTATTCACTGGTAATCAACTTGACAGACTAATAAAGAAACGTTAAAATTTCAAAAAACGTCAATTTAATTTAATTTTTTAGGACTTTCTAAAGGTTTGAAATTAAAAAAAAACATAAACAAATTCCTTTTTTCGTAAGATTTAAGCATAAATTAATTAATTTTCGTAAAAAAACGTTTCATAAAATTGACATTTAATTTTGACAAATTGTTGTGAAGTTGGTTACAGTTGGTAACATTGAATTTATGTCACTTTGATGTTTAAACTTTATTTAAAAAATAAATTTATGGAATCAATTTTAATAGTTGTGGACAAAGTACTCACATATAATGAGCTATTATTCACTCAGGTTAATTATGCCACAAAAAAAACTTGTTGTTTAAGACTTTTAAGCCTTAAGTGAAAAGATTAACTGGAAGTTGTTGCATATTCTTGTCCTTTAGAGCATGGGGAATAAGGTTGTGAAATAAAATTTCAACTCATTACTTTATTTACTTACCCATTTGAACATTCAACATTTCAGTCGGATCCAAACTTAATTTATGCCCTGGAAAACTATTCAACATTAAAGTATAACATTGGCTCCAATTCGGAGTTGAATTTTGCGGCGAAACATATCTCGTAGCAGCCAATCTTTGGCAAAACGACGCTTTGCGATTAAACCCAATTTGCGTATACAAATCAGATAAAGTTTCAAATCGCTGTATCTTCTCCTGCTCGGAAAGAGTTAAATTAATAAACACAACGTTTTGCAAAAAACTAGCCGCTTGCAACGAATGATTTTGTTCAACGGAAATTCTCGCCGCTTTAAAACTGGCTTCCGTCTCGATAATCCCCGCGTTTTGGTATTTGCTGTAATGAATAATCGCTTCTCGATATCGTTTTGAAATATCTTCTGGTTGGAGGATGTTGGGGATGTCTTTTTTGGGGAAAATATCGATTGGGGGGATTGTTATTGAGTTTCTTTTCGGCGAGCACTCTTGAAGACTTGAATTTCTATGCAAAGAAACGTTTCGTTGAATATTTGGGTATAAAACTAAAGCACTCGCAGCACATAATCCCTCATAAGCAGCCCCCAACCACAACCAATCATTAACCGACTTTAAAGTTTCAGCAGCATTTGCGTAATAAGTTAAACTTTCCGGTAATAACCCTGCTTGTAAACATAAATCCCCCAAATGCTTCGTCATACGCCCTGTACACCGCTTCTTATTATTTCTCGACTCCATATCTAACCCAACAAAATCTTTCTTTTCAAAAGGAGCCAACAGTAAAGAAACTCTCTCTAATTTCTCTCGAGAACGTTCTTGACGTTTCGATTCTAACACCCAATACAAAGAATTCACAAATTCAGTTAAATGGGATTCTAAATCGCTACACGGATCTGATTCTTTATAAAAAAAAGCGCGCGTTTTAAAATTTGATGGTGGCACAAATTTCATTGGATCTTTAAGTTCCTCTTCATCACCTGGCGCATTCTCAATCACAGGCGAAAACAAAATACACCTCGAATCAAACAATGTAGCTGTATATTTAACCTTCAAACTTTCATGTACCCGACAAATTTCGTTCAATTCCTGTTGGGAATCATATTTTCCTAAGGAAATAAGTCCAAGCAATCGACGATGCGTTTGGAAATCTCCCCAATCGTTATTCTCAACCGGATGATCCCTCATGTATCTCACAAAAACATTTCGAACCTGCCCCGATGAATCCGTTACTTTCACAGAGTTAATTTTCGAAATACGCTCAAAGTACTTGTTAAAGGTGGCCGTTTTTAATTGGGAACCTATATGGCGAACAAGAACCAAAAGGGCGGCGTGGTCATGCGAGAATTGCTCATAATCGGGGTGAGACATGTTTGGTTCTGTTGAAGTGCTCGATAAGATGTAACTCACTGAGGAACGCATTTGATCAGATTCTCCTCCTAAAAACGATTAATTAGATATTTGTATTTATAGTTATAATAATATGTTATAATTTACATTTCTTATTTTGTGTTTTAATTTATTTTTTTTTTAAATTGGTTAAAACAGATTGACTTGTTTGTTTTGACGTTTAGATAATGACGTTTTGATGTTGTGAGTAGTGACATCTCGTTATTTTATCGAGAACTATATAAGTATTGTTGAAAATTGTTAATTATAATAATTTATGCACATCTTTGTTGTTATTATTTCGGTAAAAGTGGTTTATATAAACCAGAAGAAAACAACATTACAATCTTTGTAATTGTAATAAGATCGGAAAGATGTTTTTTTTAACATCGGAGAATTTGTTGTAAACTGTAAGTATGTTATTAATTTTCATTATTTTTATAATAATAAAACGAATTTCATTTTAGTTTTAGCTAAAAAGCTATTATCTCTAATTTATCACATTGAGTTGGTTGTTTTGATGTTTAAATAACCTAAAAATTGTGTTAATGACGTTTTGATGTTGTGAGTAGTGACATCTCGTTATTTTATAGAGAACTATATAAGTATTATTAAAAATTGTTGATTATAATAATTTATAGACATCTTTGTTGTTATTATTTCGGTAAAAGTGGTTTATATAAACCAGAAGAAAACAACATTACAATCTTTGTAATTGTAATAAGTGATGATGGATTAGAAATTAATGGTAATTTAAGATTTAATTCTGAGGAAAATAAATGCTTAAATAAAGAAATAGCAATATTTGAGAGTTACTAAAGGGTTTAATTAATGTTGTTACTTAATCATTATCGTAATTTAAGCTCAAATTTGCTAATTTTAAGAGAAATTTGGAGTAAAATTTTTGTGAGGTTATGTTTATCTTCTTTAAATAACATTGATATTAAGCATTTGGGAAAGTAGTTTTTGGTGAAGAGTCTTATTTATGTTACTATTTGACCATTATCTCTAATTTATCTTCATCTTCAAACTAAGAAATGTCAGATGTTGAGGTTATGTATGAACCTCAAAAAAGGGAAAGTTAAAATTTTTTATTTTTTTTAATAATAAGTTAAATACCATCATAATAAGTCATTTTAGAATGAATAAGGAAGTTGCATATAAAATAATATGTTAAAAAATTTCCTTAGATAATAATAAAGTCTATAAAAAAACTTAGATTTCACTTAGTTTCTTTTACTTTGGTTAAAAAAGGCAGGATTAAAAGGATAAAAACTGATACGTGAGAGAAAACAATTTAAAGTATAAGAGGGAATTAAAATCCTTCAAATAAAAATGCAACAAAATCTTTACTTAACTAAAAAAAATACATAGCCTTTTGAACAATCCAATCAAATCAATCAATTCGTTTTTTTTACATTTCAATTGGGTTTTGAGGAAATCTTTCTCCTTGTTGCCCAACCGGGTTCATTTCGTTGTAAATAACAACATCTTGGAAACGCGAGTTTGGAACATAAAAGACGCTTTCATCGATTGGTCTATCGAATGGATATCCAAGGGGTAAGTTATCGTAAACGACGTCCATAGGTAAAACGATTTGTTGTTGTAAAACGCTTCTTACGGTTGATTTCGCAACAGTTTCCGGTGTGATAATGAAGTACATTTGGTAAATTTGACCTTGTGGGGTACCTCTTGGAAGGAGTAATCGTTGTGGGATACCCAATGGAATTCTTTGACTTACTGGAACTTGTTGGATTCCAATGAGTTGTAAGAACAATTCTTTGGTGGTGGTCCGTTCTGGGACGACTCCATTGAATTGAAGAGAGTTTCTTTGGATGGTGTTTAATCCAGGTACTAAAGTGGTTTGGAATTTGTCTAATTGCACAAAGTTTAAGCGTTCACGGTTAATATCGATGTGTTGGCCATTAACTCCAAATTTAGGTCCTAAGAAAACTCTTACAACAGCTTGAATTGATTTTTCACTGACAACGTTCAAATTGTAATTGAATGGTAAATAATTCAATCTTTTTTGTTTGATTTGAACCGGAACTTGAGATGGAATAGCGACGGAAATGTCGGAATAGAAGGTATCGAAGTAAGTAACTAATTTGTCAACGTTAACATCTTGGATTTGGACTCCGTTTAATAAGAGTTGTTCTTGGTTGTAACTCGGAAGGTATTGTTGGTACCTTTGGAAGAAATACATCATTCTTTTAATGAGTTGGTAGAAAGCTGGGTCGCGTAAAGATGTTTCTAATTGTTCCATTACGGATGGGATAAAATCATTTTGATTAATTGGAATGTTTGAGTATCCCAAAATATTTCTAGCAATCGATAACATATCACCGTAATATCTTGCGTTTAATGATTCTGGGTTATTCTCGATTAAGTTGCCGAGAATTTCAATTCCTTGGGGTTCAAAAATCGGCACCAATTTTCCTTCTCTGTTTAAAACAAATCCAGAATCGATTGCTTGCATGAACCTTGATTCATAAGAAAGCATATTTTGTAACCCCATGGTGTAGTTGTCATAAACTTGTTCATTTACTCTTGATGGGGATGGGATTTGAGCGTTGTTTGGTCTAATTGGGAATGGAATTCCGTTAGGGTTAACTAATTCCGATTGGATTCCTGCTTCTACGAGGTTTCTAACATTTATAAGTGGTACCTCTGGTAAGTTGTTGGAGATGCGTTCCAAATTGTATCTAGCCAATAATTGTTGGTAGATGAAATAGAATTGTTCACCACGTCTTTCAGTGTTAAAGTTAATTTCTTCGTTGGACATCCACGATGGGAAATAAATGTTGAAGTAATAATAGAAAGCGTTTAATCCTACATCTTCGGTGAAATAATTCATTAAAGTTTCCGGGTTTTGTTGTGGGTTGATTTGGGAGTATTCAGCGTTGATTGTGAGTACTAAATAATTAAATTTAATTTATTAAAATAAAGAAAATTTTTTGTTATTCTTGTTTGGGTTACCTTCGCTATCAAAATTTTGCCACAGGGGAACTTTTTCTCTCTCCTGAACACCAACACCTTGATATTGATTTACAACTGGGCTTCTAATTAATTTGCTTTTCAAGTTGTTTAAGTAACTTATCATTGGGCTAACACCTTCTTGTCCTTGTTGTTGTAATCTTTGTAAATAAATTTGGTATGGGCTGACCGGGATTTGACCCATTTGTTGGCCGAAAACATCTTGTTTAAAAGGTCCTTGTTGGCCATAAATTCCTTGTTGACCATAAATTCCTTGTTGACCATAAATTCCTTGTTGACCATAAATTCCTTGTTGATTTAAAACTCCTTGTTGTTGACCAAAAACTTTTTGTTGTTGGCCAAAAACTCTTTGTTGTTGATTTTGGGGTCCAAAACTTTGTCCGTATTGTTGAGATGGAACTCCTTGTTGTAGATTTTGGGGTCCAAAACTTTGTTCGTATTGTTGAGATGGAACTCCTTGGTATTGTTGACCTTGTACGTATCTTTGGAAATATTGTGGCGACGAAGGAATGGATTGTTGCAAGATTTGTTGATAATTTGGCAACCTCGATTTCCTTCCAAATAATTGTCCTTGTTGTTGTTGGTATGGAACTTGATTTTGCAACATTCCTTCAAGCCATTGATATGATCCTTGTTGTCCTAATGGTCCTTGATATTGAACTGGAATTTGTTTTCCTTGGCGGATACCATATTGTAATTGAACAGGAATTTCATTTTGATTTACTCCTTGTTGGTATTGATTTAATCCTTGATATTGGAATGGTCCTTGATATTGGAATGGTCCTTGATATTGGAATGGTCCTTGATATTGGTATGGTCCTTGATTTTGGAATGGCCCTTGATATTGGAATGGTCCTTGATATTGGAATGGTCTTTGATATTGCAATGGTCTTTGATATTGGAATGGTCCTTGATATTGGAATGGTCCTTGATATTGGAATGGTCCTTGATATTGTTGATTAATCATATATTTACCAAAATAATAAGGTAATTTATATGATCGTTGTTGCAAATTAATCAAAGATAAACCAAGACGTTGTTGGATTTGTTGGAAAACCTCAAAGTTGTAAAAATAATAAGGATAAATTTCATAAATTGGTGGTAATTCGATATTGGCAGTATCTGGTCTGTGTACCAAAGCAACAGAAACTGAGTAAAGATATAATCCTTCGTTCAAAAACATTCTTCCCCACGCGGCAGTTTTATAGAAAGTATCAATATCCACAGCGTTATAAAGAACTCTGTAGAAGGCGATCGCTTCTCTTTGGTGTTGTTGGTTGAAAATCGAGAAAATTTGGCCTTTAGGAAGAGCGGCAACGGTGAATAATTTGAAGAAATTAACCACATATTGAGGATTCTACCAGAAAAAAAAATTAAAGCAAAAAAGAATAAAATAAGGAAAAATTTATTACCCTATAATTTTCAATGTTAGCTTCAATATCGTAATTTAATCCAATCTTTTCAATTTCTTGGGAAGAATTAGGTTGGTCAATATTTTGCAGAAGATTTAAAACAATTTTTTGCAAATTAACTTCTTGGACTAAGCAAAGAGTAAGAAAATCGCTATGTTATTCTTTTTAATATCTATTTGAAATCTTACCATTTTGAACTCCAGAAATGATGGGTTGTTGGGGAACCCTCGGTAAGGTGTAAACTAAGGCTAAAAGCCCGGCGAAAATCAGGAGAGTCTTCATGGTGAGCACACCTTGAGTTGTGTACTTTTTTTTAAAAATCGCCACATTTTTATACCAACAAAATATCACCAGACGCCGACAATGATAGCCTTTCGGGTCATTTTTTTCCTTTCAATTATTCCTATAATGCATGTTTATTTATTATAATCAAATCCCTGTTGTTAACTTAATATTTTTTTATTCCTCGATAAAATTGTCTCCAGCTTTATCTTGTTGTAATCGCAAAAATTTTAAATAACACTCCTTATTTTTACACAAATAATTGGTAATTATTAGATATTATAAAAAATGGACTTTAAATCCAATATGTTCCGAAATTTTATATCAAAAACTTTTTTGTTTTGCTTTCTGATTTAACAATCGTTACATATTGCATCTTGCGGTTGTTGCTAAGCTGGTTATTATTCCTCCTCGTTTTATATTATTATTTATTTCATTTCTCAGACGAAACAAAGAAAATTAAACGTGGAAATTTTTGAATTCATGAAACCTAGGAAGAATTAAATTAGAAGCAAAAAATTTTTTGAAACAACCGATTTCTTAACCAGCTCATTTCTGTATTCTCTAACCATACATAGACACAGATATAAAGCTAAAAATAGTTTTAAGGCCTTGTACTCTATAATCTAGAGACGTGAATGAATTCCAGCTTTCATATCACCTTGTGGGTGGGTGTCCAAGAAATCTTTTTGATCTTGGGATACCATCCCTTGAAATTTTCTGCAATCTGTTGTCATCCATCGATTATATCTTGGATACCTCAGAGTTATCTGATTTTTCTCAGGGTGTAGCCTGCTATGGATCTTGGGTCCTCATCTCTGCTGTTCGAATGATTCTTTTTCTGAAGATGCACGGCTAAACCCAAAGCTTTCTAGTTCTAGGTCTAGTGTTAGTGCAATAAAAATATATTCATGTTAATGGTTTTTTTTAATAAAGAATACATCATGATAAAAGAACACCATGAAGTTGTCTATTATATGATAACTAACTTCAAATTTAAAATATCAACCTCAATTTTGACATATTTGTAATCTTCATTAAATATCCTTTAAAATGAGTACAAACACGATATATTTATCTTCAATATTAATGAAGTTATGGTCAACTTCCGATTAGAAATGTCAACGTCAATTTTGACATATTTGTAATTGTCGTGAAAAATCCTTTGAAATGCGTCTTCAGACTTTTCTAAGTTCTTGTCTCAGACGCCCGGCTAAACCTAAAACTTTCTAGTTCTAGGTGTAGTGTTAGTTCTAGTTTTAATTGTTATTTAACCCTAAATTCTTGTACATTTTAATTAATTTATAAATTTTTTTTTTGATTTAATCCACTTACCTTGCTCATAATTTCATTCATTTGCCCATTTTGAATTAAATACAACCTTTAAATCCAATTAATTATGTGCTTTTCACTAAAAAACCTTAAATTCAACGTCAATTTTGACAAGCAACTGTAATATTTGGATCTTAATCACCATGGTAACCGAGTCAAGTTGGATAACCTTAAAATAATAAAACTTTAATCCGATTTTTTTATCAAACTTAATTTTTATTAATTTTAAAACTATTCGAATTCTTTACGATTATCTCGCATTCATAACAAATTCGTTAATTGTAGTGAATTTAAATTGATTCTAATTAACAGAAATAAATTAAAAATATCTCTTTTTGATTTAATCCACTTACCTTGTTTGTAATACCTTAGATAAACCAATTTTGAGTTAAATACAGCCATTTAAACCAATTAAATAAGAAGTAGTGTTAAGTTAATTCTAGTTTTAGTTCAATATAATCCATAATAATAAATTTTAAATTTAATAACTTGTAACTAGCGCCATCTTTTGACCGGCGATCGTTTTTATTCCGCAATTACGGACCAACTCCTAAAAATTGATGGTTAATTATAGAATTTTAAAACAAAATAAAATAAATTAATCGATTAATTATTAAATAAAACCAATTTAATTATAAATTAGTAAAATAAAATAAAATTTGTATTTGACATTTGACAGTCAGCTGATTGGTACGGGACGAAAACAAACACGATTTGACGTTTGGCTAAAATTTTGACAGTTGCCGCGTGTTCGTTCTTGCAAGAATTATATAAAACCCGAATATGCGAAAATCGTTAGTGACGGTGCAATGTATGGGAATTTGCGCCTGTTAGGTGTTCAATGCAATATCATACGAGCGGCAAAATGTTTTGGTAACTTTACGATAAGAAACGCGTGCAACCCCTCGAAGTTAAATTGTAATTATGTCGCGTCGTTAAAGAATTTTAGGTAATTAATACGTTTTATTAATATAAAATCATTAAATTTAACGTTTTTTAGAAAGTAAGGTTATTCAATGAGTTTACTAGTTTAATTCGTGTGTTAATCGCTAGATGGCGCCACTTAACGAATATTATTGTATATTTTTTTAATTTGTTTTAGTGTTAATTCCAAGCCGTATAATTTCGAAAAATTAGCTCGTAAAATGGCAACTGGACCAAGTACGAGCTCATTACCTGTAACAGACATAAAAACGAATAAACTCTCTTATGAAAAATCACCTTATTTACTGCAACATGCAACGAACCCCGTGGATTGGTTCCCTTGGGGCGACGAAGCTTTTGAAAAGGCAAAAAACGAGAATAAACTAATTTTTTTATCCGTGGGATATTCAACATGCCATTGGTGCCATGTTATGGAGAAAGAATCGTTTGAAAACGCCGCAGTGGCTGAAATTTTAAACAAATCTTATGTTTCAATAAAAGTTGATCGTGAAGAACGACCGGATGTTGATAAAGTTTATATGACTTATGTCCAAAGAACCACGGGTGGTGGAGGTTGGCCTATGTCGGTTTTTTTAACACCCAATTTAGAGCCAGTTTATGGAGGAACTTATTTCCCCCCTGAAGATAAATATGGAAGAGTTGGTTTTAAAACTTTGCTCTCTATGATTGCCAAACAATGGGAAGCTAATCATGAGGAATTAGGCGCTAAAGGTAAATTCTTAACCTTCGAGCGGGCGCGTGTCATAAATTTTATGGCATAAATATTACATTATTTTTAATAAAACAGTTAAAACATACATTTTGCTAGAGTAAAAATGTTTAATTTATATTAAACAATTGTTAAAAACATAAAATGAATCGATTAATTTTTGAAATTTAACAATTTCATATAAATTGCAATACAGGGTGTCTCACATAACTGGTTCGTTAGAACTTTTTGAGGTTCCACTATTCGTAGAGATTTGAAATTTTGGTAATATTCGGATCTTTCGATCTAAAATATTTTCAAGATTTCCGCCACTTCCGGTCTACCGGAAGTAGACCATAACTTCGTTATTTTAAATGGAATGCTATAGTTTTTATTACACCATTTAATTGTACGTAAAAAAATAGGTTGGCTTTGATAAAACTTATTGGTACCTAACGTTTTTCGTTTTCGAGTTATTTTGGTTTTAAGCTTTTTTTTGGTAAATTTCAACATGCTCTTTAAAACCCCATATCTCAGCCAACGTTAATTCAAAAAAGATCTACATTGCCACGATTACTCTTCAGATGATGTCAAATAGATTGTCATTTGTTGTATCGGAGTATCTTATACAGGATGGTCAAAAATTGAATTAGTTTCTCCATAAAATTTCAAAAAATTAATGATTTTCTTAGTTCTGGATATATTGAGACCAAAAGAAACCGCATATTTCCGGTCACCAGTGATGAAGTCAACGAAATAAATATTTTATCGTATTTTATTGGATATCTAAATTAAATTAAACATATTTTTGTCATTAATTTTTTGTTTTAATTGTTTCATTTATTAAGTAGAATCTAACAGGACTGCTACATGCATTGTATTTTTGTAGCCCACTACTGGTTGGTTGCCCCCACTCTACGTCACACTATTTGCCACGCCCTCTTAACTGTCATTAATACTATGCGTTTGCTGTGTGTTTTTAGAGATTTAGAGGTTACATGATAGACATTAATACGTCTAAAAAAATAAAACTTCAAAAATAATATGAATACGTCTACGATATAACCTCTAAAAATACACAAACGCATAGAGCTGGGCTTGGCGAATGGTGTGACGTAGTTTGCGGGCACGTTGTTGCAACAATGAATGCAGCAGTCCTGCGCCACAACTAATAAAGAATTTTTTATTTGAAACAATTTTCTTTACAACCACAAATGGCGAAGTTATTGGCTATATTCCAGACATTTGACACACCCTGTATATAAAATAAAATTGTCATTAAGGACCTGTATTTTTCAAAAATGTGCAAACGATCCGAAACCTTCATGTATGACTCAAAACCTGTTTCTAATACATTTATATCCCTTAATACATCACATAATATAAATACGGCCTTATAAATCAAATTTTTTGTCTTTTCGAAAATTGTCATAAATTTTATGACGGCGCGCCCGCTCGAAAATTAAATAAAAAAAATCTTAATTTAAAAATTAAAAACAAAAATTTTAGCAAAAGCTTCCATCAACGCCATTCAACGATTAACCGCACAAAGCTTTCAAACAACATCCGAGTTAGATATCCCAGAAAGTGACACAATTCGTAAATGCACCTCAATGTTTTTAAAATCTTACGATAAAACTTACGGAGGGTTTTCCGATGCACCAAAGTTTCCCCAACCAAGCAATTACAATTATCTTTTTCACGTTTATTCGAAAGACCCGACTTCGGAACAAGGAAAAGAAATCTTTGAAAGTTGTACTCATAGCTTAAAAAAGATGGCTTACGGTGGAATTCACGACCACGTAAGCACGGGTTTTGCACGTTACTCGGTTGATTCACGTTGGCATGTACCTCATTTTGAAAAGATGCTTTACGATCAAGGCCAATTAGCAGTCGCTTATTGCGACGCCTATCAAATATCAAAAGACGATTTTTTCAAAGAAATCGTTGAAGATATCTTAAATTACGCATCGAGAGATTTAAGTCATGATTTGGGGGGGTTTTACGGTGCTGAAGACGCGGATTCTTATCCAACAGAAAAATCAAAGCATAAAAAAGAAGGTGCTTTTTGCGTTTGGGAATACTCTGAGTTAGAAAATTTGTTAACAATGAAACACAATCGATTCCGTTATTTTGATCTTTTTTGTTATCATTTCGACGTGAAGAAATCCGGAAATGTTCCACCTCAATACGATCCGCATAATGAATTGACAAATAAAAATATTTTGGGGTGCTTTAGATCTTATGAAGCTACTTCGACCGCTTTTAACGTTACAATTGATGAGGTTAAAGAAATTCTAAAGCAATGTTACGATGTTCTTTATGAGGAACGATTAAAGCGACCCAAACCTCATGTTGATACTAAAATCGTTACCGCTTGGAATGGTTTAATGATATCTGGTTTTGCAAAGGCTGGATTTGTTTTAAATAGATCCGAATATGTTGATCGTGCTGTGAAAGCTCTCGAATTTGTTAACGAGTATTTATATAATGACACAAATAGGACTTTATTGAGATGTTGTTATAAAGACGATTCCGGAAATATTAGTCAAATGTAAGAAAATTAAAGATTATTTTTATGTTATTTAATAATTTTTTTTAGTTCCGCGCCTATTAACGGATTTGTTCAAGATTACGCTTTCTTAATTAGAAGTTTAATTGATACGTACGAAGCTACGTTAGATTGTAGGTGGTTAGAGTGGGCTGAAACACTTCAAGATACCCAAAATGAGCTGTTTTGGGATGAAGAGGATTTTGGGTATTTCACAAGCCCTGAAGGGGATCCTTCGATTGTTATTCGAGATAAAGAAGGTAAGAATTTTAAACCGAAATTAACGAAACTTTAATAACTCTGTTCATACTTTCGATTTGCCACTACTATTATACGTGCACATATCGCTACTTTTCTTTTCACGGTACGTATAAAATTACATAATTTTCATGGATATACATAGCATATTAAGCCGAGGTCGCTTGCGGCCGAGGCGCTAGCTCCATATCATATTGATACTAAACTACACGATTTCTAAGAATTTATTTGTATAGTAAGCCGAGGTCGCTTGCGGCCGAGGCTCTAGCTCCATATTATATAGATACTAAACTACAGGATTGCTAAGAATTTATTTCTATAGTAAGCCGAGGTCGCTTGCGGCCGAGGCTCTAGTTCCATATTATCTAGATAGTAAACTATAAGATTNGCCGAGGCTCTAGCTCCATATTATATAGATACTAAACTACAGGATTGCTAAGAATTTATTTCTATAGTAAGCCGAGGTCGCTTGCGGCCGAGGCTCTAGTTCCATATTATCTAGATAGTAAACTATAAGATTACTAAGGATTTGTTACTGTATTAAGCCGAGGTCGCTTGCGGCCGAGGCGCTAGTTCCATATTATATCGATAGTAAACTGTAAGATTACTAAGGATTAAATTTTATATTAAGCCGAGGTCGCTTGCGGCCGAGGCTCTAGCTTCATAATATATATATAGATACTAAACTACCCGATTTCTAAGAATTTATTTTCATAGTAAGCCGAGGTCGCTTGCGGCCGAGGCGCTACCTCCATATCATGTTGATACTAAACTACACGATTTCTAAGAACTTATTTGTATAGTAAGCCGAGGTCGCTTGCGGTAGAGGCTCTAGCTCCATATTATACAGGGATGTCCCGAAACTCAACGTCAAGCGGACACCGGGTGAGAGGCCAACCCATACCTGTTCTGGTAAAAATGAGAAAAAAATTCCATGTCTCTTAGTTAAGTTATAATCAGAGTCACGACGTTTCGGGCAGTTGAGGTCACCATCTGTATAGAGCAGCGAACGGGTTATAGCGTAGTAGTAACATGCTTCTATCGAGCACATCGTTGTGCCGCAACGTATCGATACTGGTTGAATGGCCCATATAAAATTTGTGGGGTTCTCTGCGGTACAGCGTTGAATACGTGTTTGGCCGATTGTCTGACTAAAACTCAACCAGTGGCGTGGTATTCTATATGTGGCGTGATGTGGTCCATGTGGCCCGAGTCTCTACCGTAAGGCGACGAGCCGCCAATGAATTGCCCGACAACGTCGCGGCTCTGGTTATAATAGAGATACTTTTCAAAATGTTAAAAATCGGTCCCGTACATCATATCTTTAGGTACTACGGTCAGAAATGTTCGCAATTTAATAGTGATTTTTTTTAATAATCTATTCCTTGTGAACCATGCTACTGTAGAAGTCACAAATCAAACAACAAAAGTCGTTAGTTTTGCGAAAAAATATACAGTGAAGACCGGTTATAACGAGCAGTCAAGGGACCGAAAAAATTGCTCGCTATAGACGGTACCTCGTTATAACCAAGGTTGTCGTAATATGTAACATAAATTTTAATACTTGTGCAAAAAGTAGTAACCAGCAATTTTAAAAACGAATTAAAAAAATCTTTTTGTTTTTGCACTTTTACAATGAAATTTTTGTTTATTCACTATCAGAAATTAATCACTATGAGAAATTTTGTTTGCTTTAAAAGTATACGATTGAAAAGGTAAAAACAAAAAAATACATTATCATGTTTTTGTAATTTTTCATAACATTATTGTTTAAGACAGATACAACTACCTAATAGACTAAAACTAATTAACTAAACATCTATACTATTATACATCTAAAATTAATTTTTATTGAAATATTCTCGGATGTTTTTCTGTTTTATGCTTTTATGTAATAATTCCTGGCAAATATTTTTGTTTATTGTATCGCATGCGAACATACATTCAGTATTGTCCGCATAGTTGGTTGCAATGTAACGTGTCACCCTAGAAAATGCTTCTAAAAATTCATTTTTTGATATGTTTCGTTCTACCTCTTCATCTGATTCACCGTCAGATTCATTATCTTTATTCAACACGTTAGACATTATTTCAGTGTCAGATAGAATGGAACCAGTAGTAACATCGTCATCGATAGTGGCAAATAAATTTAAATCGATACCGTCTATTTCCAAACCGTTTTTCTCTGCCCAACTAGAAAGATTTTCTTCCACAGAGATACGCGTAATTAATTGAGCTAAGGGAATTTCATATTCCTCGCTAAAACTCTCTGCAAGATTGCCGAATGCATGACGAAAGCAATTCATTATTGTTTCTTTTTTAACATTTATCCATGCGCTGTTTAGCATTATTATGGCATCTAAAATATCGATTTTTAATTTTTCGTTCAGATCCATAGCTTCTACTAACTTGAACAATAACTTTTGTCGGTAAAACGTTTTCATTGATTTAATTATGCCTCGGTCCATCGGTTGTAAGACGGAAGTTGAATTTGGCGGAAAGTACGCAAGTTCAATACATTCTAAGTTGTTAATATGAGGATTTTTGTAACGACGTATAGATACAAGTTCACGTAAATCTAGCGATAAACTGAACTGCCGATGCTGCCTGTACATGGTGCCTAAATGGCGCGTCACGACGTCACCAGATTTTTACGTCATTCGCTCGTTATAGACGGTACAAAACACGCAAAACTACAACCGAGCTCTCGTTATAACCGAACTCTCGTTATAACCGAGCACGCGTTATAACCGAAATTTTTTACATTGTAAGGATAGGATTTTTCACGGGACTTGGAAGCTTGCTCGTTATAGAGCAGATGCTCGTTATAAAGCATACTCGTTATAACCGGTCTTTACTGTATTAATTTGATTGAGTTAAGGTTGCAAGAATTTATGTGTATTAAGTTTGACACACGATTTCTAAAAAAAGGAGTAGTACAACACCCTTGGCAAGTAATTTTAAAAGATGGCCTCTTTAGTCAAGTTTCCAAAATGGTACAACACTTGCCATTTTTCTTGTCATAAAAAACATTATTGCCTGTTTTTCTGCAAAAAACACGTTATTTAAAAAATTCATACTTTTGTATGTTATTTGTATTTATTTTTTATTTCCTCTTAACTTTGTTAGAAGATGTGCCAGTCATTATCTACGAACTATAAAATGTGGTTTCAAGAAGATGGTTGCCCTTATGTCTTGCAAAAAGACTCTTTCAAATAAGGTTAATCTAAAGACAAAATTAAACAAACAAATTTATTTATTATTAATTTTATAGTATTATTTTCTTAAAACTAAGGCANAATGAGAAATAACCTCATATTGAACGTCTTCTTCAAAGCGCTCTACCTCCCTTAGGAAGCATTTTAGGACACACCTTTATATGAACTTTTCTTCATGATTTTTTATGTAGAATCGCACCTTTAAATATATGAACGCAATTTCCGGGCACCCTGTATATGTATAGATACTAAACTACCCGATTTCTAAGAATTTATTTCTATAGTAAGCCGAGGTCGCTTGCGGCTGAGGCGTTACCTCCATATCATGTTGATACTAAACTATACGATTTCTAAGAAATTATTTGTATAGTAAGCCGAGGTCGCTTGCGGCCGAGGCTCTAGCTCCATATTATACAGGTGTCCCGAAACTCTACATCAAGCGGACACCGGGTGAGAGGCAAACCCATACCTGTTCTGGTAAAAATGAGAAAAAAATTCCATGTCTCTTAGTTAAGTTATAACAGACATACTTTTCAAAATGTTAAAAATCGGTCCCGTACATCATATCTTTAGGTACTACGGTCAGAAATGTTCGCAATTTATCAAACAACAAAAGTCGTTAGTTTTGCAAAAAAATATATTAATTTGATTGAGTTAAGGTTGAAAGAATTTATGTGTATTAAGTTTGATACATGATTTCTAAACAAAGGAGTAGTATAACACCCTTGGAAAGTAATTTTAAAAGATGGCCTGTTTACTCAAGTTTCCAAAATGGTACAACACTTGCCATTTTTCTTGTCATAAAAAATATTATTAAAATATTATAAAAAATATTATACTTTTGTATGTTATTTGTATTTATTTTTTATTTCCCCTTAACTTTGTTAGAAGATGTGCCAGTCAATATCTACGAACTACAAAATGTGGTTTCAAGAAGATGGTTGCCCTTATGTCTTGCAAAAAGACTCTTTCAAATAAGGTTAATCTAAAGACAAAATTAAACAAACAAATTTATTTATTATTAATTTTATAGCATTATTTTCTTAAAACTAAGGCAAATGGTCAAATTATTTGCCGTCGGCACTAATACAAGCTCTGCATCGTCACAAAAACGATCTTTTTACTAGTTGTGCAAATCTCTTTGCATTTATTTCTTCTGCTGCTGTATAAATATTGTGGCTCAGTTCGGCAAGATTTTCAATCGGTTTTTAATACACTGTTTCTTTTATGCAATCCTAATAAGAAAATCAAAGGGATTTAGACCCAGAGAATGAGGAGGCCACGTAATCGAACCACGACGCCCAATTCATCTTTCTGGGTATTCTGTATGCAATCCCATACAGGACAAGCATAATGAGCTGGGCAACCATCTTGTTGCAACCATATTTCTCTGGTGGCACATTTTCTAACAAAGTTGTTAAATTATTTGGTAGAGGGTAGGTTGAAAGTACAAGTAGGGCCAAAACATGCCCTATTATGAGTTAAGCATATTCCTCAAATTTCATTTTCCTAGCGTTTATGGTTTTTGAGAAAAAAAAATTAAACCAAAATTTTCCAAAATTTTTTATTTAGGGGAGCCGAAGTCACCCATGGCTCATATATCAAAGTACCCTTAAAATTCACTAAAGAATCACCCCTTGAAGTTTGTTGCGGTCATTCAGATACACCCTGTATAGATAGTAAACTATAAGATTAGCTAATCTCTTTAGATTGTAAATAAGCGTCAAAACATGGAAAAAGTGTCAGAAAGTGTTATATTCTGGATACTGAATTTGGTACTATTCCTAGAAGTGCTGTATTGGAAAGTTAAGAAATCAGCGAGAGAAGCAGTGGGAATACAATCTCGGGCAGCATCTTAATGAATTGACTATCCCCAAGTCTGCTTAATCTATGTTCTCTTTTTTTCAACCTTGTTTTTTTGTAACTCATCTCTTGCTACTCAAATTCTTTATGATTAATATTTTTCAAAGAAAATTTTTTTTAAGTATTACAAATAAAGAATACATATTTTTTGAGTTGGTTATAAAAACGTAAGTTGTCGATCTGTAACGTTTTTACAAACGATGGCACTCAAAGTGGGAGGGTTGAACGAATGGGGATGACGAAGAAAATCGCTCTCAGGGGCGAAAGGTGGGAGGGAAAATGGAAAAGAAATGGGTGTTTTCGATCGCGATGAAGTAGTTTTTTTTCTTATAAATCGTATCACGTTGCTAAGAAAACTTGGAAAGAAAAAAATAAAATAGAAACGAAATTATTGTTAACTCTTACATCGTCTTGAACGGTTAATTTTATCTGCTTGTAATTCTGGTTGGTTGACCCGATGTTTGTTCAACTCCCCCTCTTTCTCTATCCAGAATTTAAGGGTTCGTGGAAATCCCTCCTGGCGTGAATATAACCGGTGTAGACACGTGTTATCTCCTACTGGCGACGTGGCACCTTCTTGTCTAGTCAAAGAACGATCGATCGGCTCTGCGTTAGCAAATTTCGACGTTGCCACAATAACTTTATCGCTATGTCCTAATCCGGACGGTTTTATTACGTCCTTTTCGACGGATGCGCCACTACGACGCCCTTATCTAGCAAATTTGCGAAGTTAAGAGCACATTTCAGATGGTTATCTAATAACACCGTCTAAGCGTCTTATCTTTTAAGCTTCCTCTCAATGCGAGGGACGTTAATAATCCGGGGATTTTGGAGAATATAAAGATTCGAGTTTAATTTGATAATAAATTATCGTTTTTTTTTAATTGGACAATAATTTATTATACATTAAAAGAAAACTGGTTAATAAATAAAAACGTTGCACAGAGTGCGCTAGGTAAACCTAAATTATTAATATTCGCTTGGGAAAATCGATACGTGGCCGGTTTCGAACCTCGACATAGAAAAATGGGTCGTTTACCATTTCCCGATGTTTCGACGATCGACACTTTAACATCGTCTATAAAACAGGACATCTAAAGACAGGTTTATGTTTGTGGTTTAAATAATTAAAATGAAAGTCGATTACGAATGGTGGAGTTCTTTGAAATCGATGAAATTTAATTAAAAATTTTTGTTTATTACAGATCGAGATGGGGTTGAATAAGCCGAGGTCGCTTGCGGCCGAGGCGCTAGTTCCATATCATATCGATAGTAAAGTACACAATTTCTAAGGATTTATTTCCATAACAAGCCGAGGTCGCTTGCGGCCGAGGCGCTAGTTTCAAATTATATCAAAGATACATAATTTTCAAGAATATATATTATAATCAAGCCGAGGTCGCTTGCGGCCGAGGCGCTAGTTCCGTATCATAACTATACTAAACTATACGATTTTTAAAGATTCACTTTCTTATTAAGCCGAGGTCGCTTGCGGCCAAGGCGCTAGTTCCATACCATATCGATGCTAATGTAGACAATTTCTAAGAATTTATTTCCATATTAAGTCGAGGTCGCTTGCGGCCGAGGCGCTAATTCCATACCATATCGATGCTAATGTACACAATTTCTAAGGATTTATTTCCATATTAAGTCGAGGACGTTAGTTCCATATCATATCAAAGATACATAATTTTTAAGAATATATATTATAATCAAGCCGAGGTCGCTTGCGACCGAGGCACTAGCTCCTTATCATAACTATACCAAACTGTACGATTTCTAAAGATTTACTTTCTTATTAAGCCGAGGTCGCTTGCGGCCGAGGCGCTAGTTCCATACCATTTCGATGCTAAAGTACACAATTTCTAAGGATTTATTTCCATATTAAGTCGAGGTCGCTTGCGACCGAGACGCTAGTTCCATATCAT